ATATAGGGCAAACCATGTGGGCAAAATACAAATTCAATACTGAACACTCGCTAAAGTCAAAGCTAAGACCTCAAAACTGGGTTAATCTGCAGTGTGTTGTGATTAAGTGAACGAGTGAGTGAGTTTAGTTTTACGCCGCTTTTAGCAATATTCCAGCAATATCATAGCGGGGGGCACCAGAAATGGGCTTCACACATTGTACCCATGTGGGAATCGAACCCGGGTCTTCGGCTTGACGAACGAACGCTTTAACAACTAGGCTACTCTAACGTCCCTTGTGATAAAGAGCAACCATGACGAAACGTTCTTTTGGATCGAGTCGGCTGGCCTGAAAAGTGAAACAGAAAACAGTGCATTGAATAGCACTGTACAACACCTTATCAGCGGATACCAAGCGTTGGCACAAACATAATGACTTCAGCGACATGATGGCGTGTCTAGTTTTAATACCGTCGTCGTTATGATTATGGTTTTAACTGATATATCCATATATGGCACGAACCATCGCTCATGCTTGTTTATACCTAACAGTAGAACGCGGTCGAATGAGATTGTTAGTGGTATAACATTTTTGAAAATATACTCTCCCAAAAAAGAAACGTATCATGAAAATAGCAATTTCATGTAGCAATGAATGAAAACGTGATTCATTTTACAAAAGGTTTTGCTCTGTTTATGAGTCCTATGGTGTTTATGTTTTGAAACATTACAATAAAACGCACCATCCGTAAAATACCCGTATTTAACAGCATGATTTTCAATTTCGGCGTGTAGTGTCACAGAATACACAATTCACATGCAATGCACGTGAAAGTTGGGGATCAGATAGTCTCAATGATGGGTATAAAAGATTGATCGCTGTCTGTCGATTATTCACTGTATTTGGAATATTGTTGACGAACGCAAAATGCCACGTCTAAGTGAAGCCGTCATATCGCCATTGGTTTGCTTGAAGCTGGCCAGTCTCAACGTGCAGTTGCCCGACGCATGAATGTTCACCAAAGCACCATTTCACGGCTCTGGGAGAGATATCGCCGGCAGAATGCGGTAGCAGATGCCCCTCGTAGTGGGCGACCTCGAGCGACCCCGGCGCAGGATCGCTACATCCGGGTACATCACCTGCGTCATCGAACAGCTACAGCGACTAGTACCGCTCGACAAATACCCGGATTGAGGAGGTTTTCTGCACAGACCGTCAGGAACAGGTTGAGAGAGGCTGGTTTACGTGCCAGAAGACCGTATTTTGGCCCTGTGCTTCGACAACAACATCGTCGACATTGTTCAATGGTGCACCAACGTTCAGGCCTGGAACCTACCGAATTGGCGTAGAATCTGGTTCAGTGATGAATCACGATTTCTGTTGGAACGACGCGATGGAAGAATGCGGGTGTACAGACGTCGACGTGAACGTTTCGCCGACGCTTGCGTTTCCCAGGTGGACAGATTCGGCCGGGGCAGTGTTATGATGTGAGGAGCGATCACCTGCCGTAGGAGAAGTGATTTGGTGATGATCCAGGGCAACCTGACAGCTCAACGGTACTGTGACGAAATCCTACGCCCACACCTCCTTCCAATCATTGATCGCTAGAGGGAGTTGTTTCAGCAGGACAATGCCAGGCCCCACACAGCACGTCAAACTAGAGACAGTATCAATGTGCTCCCCTGGCCCCCAAGATAACCAGACTTAAACCCGATCGAGCATCTGTGGGACGCCCTGGACAGACGGGTGCGACGCCGTAACCCTCAGCCCCAGATACTTCAGCCCCTCGCACAGGCACTACAGGCAGAGTGGGCTGCGATTGGGCAACACGAGATTCTGAGACTTATTCGTTCGATGCCGAGGCGATGCCGTGCAGTTCTGGATGCCCACGGTGGTCACACGAGGTATTGACTTCAGCGCCACCACACGTTTCCATGTGACACTCAAACTGACTTTCCTCGAGTTGGTGCCAAAGTGCCAAAGTGTGCAATTTCGCTATATTTCATTGACTCATAAAGCCTACAAGATGTTTCAAAATAAGCATAAAAATACAGTTGAAATTCCTATATGCGTTTCGTTGTTGGGAGAGTATATTTCGAAAGCACCAGGGCCTCCTTTCACAAAGCACTAAGGTGATCGTAAGTCACTTATGTAACCTTAGTGCAATGTTAAAGAATGGGAGTTAAGGTTAACCTAAGTAAAGTTTTTTTCGTGAAAGGAGCCCCAGGTGTGTACTTTCTTTTGTACGCCAGTCTACGTCATGAATCGCCATTCTATATTATCAGATGCTTTATGAGCAAAACGCCAGGAACGCCTGGGCCCCGTTCGTCATACCGATCGTAGCGCTACGACAGTCGTAAGTCTATGTTAAAGTATGGGAGTTACGATCATCTTAGCGCTACGAGCGTTTTGTGGAACGGGGCCCAGGTTTGGTAATTGTTAGGGGTAAAGCAATGAGTGAGTAACATATAGATCAACAGTGCCTGCATCATCGTGGTAACCACACACTCATGCTGATAGGATAGTCACATCATGCAGCCTGGCTGTCGCATAACGCCCCAGGAGCATCAATGATTTGCAGTCGAACGAGGCTGGCGGCGGCTTTAAGCAACATTCAATTAGTCGCTCCAAATCCCACGGCCAGCTTCTGGATGTTTACTCATATACGATATCTCCGAAAACAAACAGAGAGAAAGTAACGCCTTCCTTTGTGCAGCAATGATAGCGTGTATCTGAGTTGGAATCTACTCGAGATGTGGAATTCATGAAAACATGAACTCTTGTTAACCAGCAATATTCCTTATCAAGCCACAGAACCGCGGCAGAGTCACTATGCTGTGTTGACTTGTTGTGGAGAACGTTAGGGTAACCCCTTGAGTCTTAGGTCCATCAACAGTCTGTAACGACACACTGCAGCCTGTACGTATCTCGCTTGTATTTCCCTGCATGGTTCCACTCCAGCAGTATTTAGTCTCATGATGGCGCAAAAGCAGTTAGCAATATCAAGCTACACAAGCCGGTCGGCTTGACACGCTTAGGCGTGCAAAATACGTGTAGATAATTGACAGAAATGTTATACTTGTGTTAAAAAACACATCTCTGTCAGCCAGATTGTGTATGTCTACCACCGGTTCATGTTTTAACAAAACAGGGTTGTTCAGCTGCCTGTTGACAGCCAGAGGCTGTGTTACCGGTGGAAGTGGAGCGAGCCGCACCTTCCTGCCAGTAACAACATCACAAGAAGTCGCCGTGCTGCTGAGGGAGTGAATGTTCCGTAACGCCGCAGTGCTCAATTTAACGTAGAAATGATCATCTGAGAGAGGTGGAGTCACAACCAGTGTCAGTGAAAATAACGGAACTTGGATTTTACGAGGCCATCCCTCGTTGAAGGGCGATTTCACCAAAAGCCAGTGTAGCCACCTCTCTCTCCTCCCCTCATATACACGCCCAACCCCCCTTCCCTACATCACATGTTTTACCAGCCAATACGTATTACATACAGCTAAACAGATTACAAACGTACACCCTTCCTACACATGCCATACGATCATACACGCGTTATGAAAAGGTCATACACTTAAAATAAATTACCATTATCCGTCAAAAAGAGGCAATATTTTATACAGATATCATATCACTTTTCACACTTGATATATCACCTTAGATGTTATGAAGACCCATTATCGTCATAAAGACTTCAAATCGTATTTCACGCAATTTCAGCAGGCTCTCAACATACGCATTTCATTACGTCATACGTATCAGATATCGCCATTAGCTCAACATAGAAATGTGTAATAAAGTCAGGCACATGGTATCTAGACGATTCCGAACGTACGTACGTTGTAGACGACAGAAATAACATATCACGTCAACCATACATAACCTGCACATTGAGGCGCCATGTTGGCCGAGATTCAACCATTCGTGATTCGTTAGACACATGACTTGCTTCTCAATTATTCATGCAACAAAACAAACAATACCTGGCTTCTGAAGAATTCAAAGGGAATAGTTAACAGTATTTTTATACCGTTTAAAGTTTGAAGTCTCGTCAACACACAAATACTTTTGCGAAGTCTTCATCATACGCAGGCATGGTGCATTTGCTTTGAAAATAGAAGCCTTCTAGTATGGCTGATTGAACAAAAGGTTATGACCAGGTTATGATTCTCAATGACAACAGAGATGGAAGAGTAGCATGGAAGAGTAGCATCCGAGTTGAGGTCCCTGAATTAGTTTACTCCATAGCTTTGTAAAGAAACCCGATTTAGTGACGTTTGTTTGCCTGTTGTTTAACGCCCAACTTGGCACTTGTCCAGCTATATGATCGCGATCTGTAATTGTCTGGACCAGGCAAACCAGTGACCGTCATCATCAGTATCTATCGACTCATTGGGAATACGGTGACCAGGATCAACCAAGTCATCGAGCCTGACCACTCGATCCTGTTAGTTGCATCATTCGACAAACATGGGTTGGTGAAGACCACTTCTAACCAAGATATCGAGTCTGGACCAGACAATCCTGTGATCAACAGCATGCGTCAGCTACGTCAGCGGGCCTAACCACCCGACTATCTTTTATGTAAGCCACCTAGTGTTAATGTGATGATTGCGATTGTAATAAATGTCCCCTTTCACGTCGAGGATGGGACACACCAGCCCCACCCCCTACCCCAACCCCATCATCTCCGTCCCTCTTTTTCATAGCCATGTATGATTTGTGATCTGAGAGCTGACACGGTTCAAATATGTCAAAAATGAAGCATACAACTTTATGGATACAATGTTATGGATAACAACTAGTTTATTGCATAGAGCGACGTTTCGACGTAGATTCTTGCACTGTTATCAAGCTAAACTTCGCTCTATGCAGTAAACTAGTTGTTATCCATAAAGTTGTATGCTTCATTTTTGATTCACCAACTTCTAGAATGCCGATCAAACAATTCAAATATATCGATTTCTACCAGATCCCTGTACCAGTTTTCTGTACTTAACGTTGTATTTTCCTGTAGGTATTGTGAACACGTCAGGCAAGGTATGGAAGGAACAACGCCGCTTCACGCTCGCCGCTCTGAGACAGTTCGGCTTCGGGAAAGCATCCTTCCAGGACAAGGTCCAGGAGGAGGTAGAAGCATTTATTACCGTGCTGGATCACCACGCTGGGGAAGACGTGGACCCCCAGGGCATCATCCAGACTGCCATTGCTAATGTTATATCATCCATAGTCTTTGGGGAAAGGTTCAGCTACGATGACCCGCTGTTTGAGAAATTCCTGGAAATATTTGACGAGAACATGAAACTTGTTGGTGGAACCTCCATACTGAACTTTTTCCCGATATTCCAGTATTTGCCTGGTGACATTTTTAAGTTTAACAAAGTCCTTAGCAACGTGGCGTTTGTGCAGACCTTCATCCGTGACACTGTGCAGCGGCATATCGAGAACCTGGACACGCTGAACATCCGGGACTTTATTGACGCCTACCTGAAAGAAATGCAGGAGGAGGCAGATGATCCTGAAACAACACTCAACTGTGAGTAGACGTAGACACAATTGTGAGTGGACGTAGACTCAACTGAGAGTAGACGTAGACTCAACTGAGAGTAAACGTAGACTCAACTGAGAGTAGACCTAGACTCCACTGAGGGTAGACGTAGTCTCAACTGAGGATAGACGTAGACTCAAGTGAGAGTAGACGTAGACTCAACTGAGAGTAGACCTAAACTCAACTGAGAGTAGACGTAGACTCAACTGAGAGTAGACGTAGACTCAACTGAGGGTAGACGTAGACTCAACTGAGAGTAGACGTAGACTCAACTGAGGGTAGACGTAGACTCAACTGAGAGTAGACGTAGACTCAACTGAGGGTAGACGTAGACTCAACTGAGAGTAGACGTAGACTTAACTGAGGGTAGACGTAGACTCAACTGAGGGTAAACGTAGACTCAACTGAGAGTAGACGTAGACCCAACTGAGAGAGGGGGAGAACTGAGGGTAGACGTAGACTTAACTGAGGGTAGACGTAGACTCAACTGAGGGTAAACGTAGACTCAACTGAGAGTAGACGTAGACCCAACTGAGGGTAGACGGAGACTCAACTGAGGGTAAACGTAGACTCAACTGAGAGTAGACGTAGACCCAACTGAGGGTAGACGGAGACTCAACTGAGGGATAGACGTAGACTCAACTGAGAGTAGACGTAGACTCAACTGAGGGTAGACGTAGACTCAACTGAGGGTAGACGTAGACTCAACTGAGGGTAGACGTAGACTCAACTGAGGGTAGACGTAGACTCAACTGAGGGTAGACATAGTGTGGGAACAACTGCCTGAAGACGACTCAGTGTTGGTATGCATAGATTCCCAGCTGTGAGTGGGTGAGGACACCCCATTAGTAGCTAGACATACAATTTTCCACAGATGGAGTAGATATTGTTTAACACCACTCGATCTTTTACATGCATTCCTACTGAGACTCAATGCTTCGGTCATAAGGGTACTTCATGTGTTTCAGTTATTGTACTTGCATGTACATTATGTATGAGTATATACCGTACTTAGAAATTTAAGTACTTCCGTATCTTTTATGTCACTATACTTACGACACTACATCTGTCAGGGCATCTCATAATGTATAGACTTTATTAATTTCATGTGATCGTGAGTACTTTAGCGTCTTTTGACAAGTACATAGCTACTACGATGTCCAGCTTTAAATAAACCAAACATTGTTGGCGAGTTTGAAACGTTCATGGTAGTTGCAAGAAACTTCTACTCTACATTGTCCGTAACCGTCAACGTAAATGATTATTTTTTCTTTTCAGATGAGCAGTTGGTCAAAGTGATCGGGGATTTGTTTGTAGGTGGAACAGAGACAACTTCCACGACCATCAGATGGGCAATCATCTTCCTTGTGCGCAATCCGGAAGTACAACAGCGCATGCGTGATGAGATAGACCGTCATGTGGAACGTGCAAGACAGCCGAGTGTTTCCGACAAGCCCAACTTGCCCTACACCGAGGCTACAATCCTTGAGATCCAGCGGTGCGCTGATATTGCCCCATTCTCAGTGGCCCATGGCACCCTACAGGACGTCACGTTCAGGAACTATTTAGTCCCTCGGAACAGCATTGTCATCCCAAATATTCACTCAGTACTGGCTGACCCTGAACTCTGGGTCCACCCGTCCGACTTCCGGCCTGAGCGGTTTCTTGATGATACTGGCAGTGTCACCAAACCAGAGCATTTTATTCCATTCTTTATGGGTAGGTACCGACTATTATTTTGTCCCAAACACAAAGTTATGTATAAGATTAAGGCTGTGAAAAAAGGTACCCTTGATTATTTTCCTCTGCATTTCAGAGAGGAAACAGGTTATGTAGGGACCGCATGGGAAGAACATGGAATGAGGGTCATTATTTTTATTGGTGAATGTAAATTCAATATGCCATTTTGTGTGACTTACATGATGTCGGGGGAGACTTTGGACTCACATGTCACAGATGTAAGGACTGTGTCGAAAGTCTTCTTGGTATTCCACAGAGACGAATGTAACATAGAATGGTAAAAAAATTGTCCTTTAATCGTAGGATCGATGTTGGTGTCTTTATGAGCAGGTGATACATCAATCAAACCATCGCTGTATCAATCAACTCGGTCCATCCTGGAACTGTTCTGCTAGAATTACTGGGTTCAGCTGATCGGTTCACGACATCGCAACGGTTTAACATATTAGGACATTTATCTGACATCGTTAAGTATAGAGATTAAGGAGGTTGCTGGTTATGTATAAAGGTTCTACGGTCTGACGTTACATCATGTCTTAATGCTAATTAGTATGTTATGTGTGAAGTTGAGAATTGTCTCTGTTTAATGAGATATGCAGAACAAATCTTAAATCAAATAATTCATAAAGCATATAAAAACAAGTATTGTGACGAAGAAATCTGTTTCTAAAGTTAAACATTTGTAGCCAAAAACGTTAAAAAACTACTCGTGATCCGGGAACTACCGAGAGTTAGTAAGCAGAGGTGCCCTAAGGTAATCTGACGTGACCTGATCATAGCGGAGCCATATTGGTAGCTAACTTGTGTTCTCCGTTGCATCACCAGACAATAGACCGATGCAAATGTTGATGCAAAATGACCTTATTCACATTCGTGCACATCAATAAGGAGGTCGTGCTTAGTTGAAATAGTTTTGACAGCAAGTACGAAACGCGAGGTCGATCTATCGAGCGAAGACGATCAATCAGATGTCAATACGTAAAGACTCATTTTTTCAAATTTGCAACACAAAACATTCTTTTCGATTCGGTACAAATAAGCTTTATTTAGACTAGTTGTTATGCTGATATTGTTTACTTATTTCCAACTTAAGTTTTCTCAGATGAAAATCATGAAACGATGGGAAGAAAGCTTGGTGCCAGCTTGGTACGGGTATAGTACTCTTTGGATACACGTCAACAATGGTAGGGAACTTGGTCACAGTGAGAGTGGAGTCATTGTGATTTTAGCATCAGCAAGGGAAGGGTAAGGTAGGGTAAATGGCTTGTATGCCTACAAAATGAATATTACAAGAGAGTTGAATTCACATTTACTTACATTAGGTTTCCATCAGTAACAAGTAAATATTAGACGGGGTAAGAACGGGGTATGATTCGTCCAATATGGACAGTGAATCGGAATTGGATGTGTCTTTGAACATATCTGAAACATCACCGCCATTGAAACATTACCATAGCCCGCAAGGAGCCCCGACATGAACCCCATCAAACATTTTGGGGACTGTCTGGGACGCCAAGGTTGAGTTAGAGATCCTCCTGTTAAATCTGAAGGATTTGACGTAGTCACTAAGAGGAATGACAAATGCTGAGAATTCGACGCTTGATTGGCAGTATGAGGAGGATACTAGCAGATGTTATCTGTGTGAGGGGTGAAACACCAAGTGTTGACTTGATCACCAATTCACTGTCCAGGTTGGACGAATCATACCCAGTCTACTCCATTTTGCGATTGGGAATTACTTGTGACAATGAGTGAATTTTCCGTTACATCAATTTCGTAATCACAAAGTTTCTGTGACATAAGAAATTATGAAATTGATATGGACGCTTTTTTTCGCTGATAAAACAGCACATCCTTTATGATAAAAGTGGATAAACACTAATCGGAACACATTGTATTATTTTTACACTTCTTTATGGGGTCAATTGTCACAATATACCGATTATGCATCATAAAGGATTCATTTCGTACCAACTAATGGTTTAACATGACTCTATCGGTCGCTTTCTGAACATCATAATATTTACTTGTTACTGATGGAAACCTAATGAAAGTAAATGTGAATTCAACTCTCTTGTAATATTCATTTTGTAACATATGTTATATTTGGGATGGGACTCAACCCAACAAAAGTACTAGAATCTGTACTTTACAGATGTAATCCCAAATATAACATATGTTACATTTGACCACTTTCTAAATGGCATTGTGTATTTCATAATATTCATTTTGTAGGCTTACAGGCCATTTACCGTACCTCCCTTGTTGATGCTAAAATCACAAAGACTCTGTGACATATCGCAAAGTTTCCGTCGCAAAAATCACAAAGACTCCACTCTCCCTGTGACCAAGTTCCCTACCAGTGGTCAATGCGTGACGTTGCCTCTCATTCAAATCTCAAGTGGTATCGCCCCTATTATAGTGGTGACAGGTTGTCAATAAGTAGTTTAGTTTCACCAAAAATGGGCTTCACGCATAGTACGCATGTGGGGAATCGAACCTGGGGTCTTTGGCGAACGCTTCAAACTCTGGGCTACCCCACCTCCCCGGGAATAGTAATACCTAGAAATATAATGAACAGGAACCGAGATTCAAACCACAATCATAGGTTTCTGATTTGTCCAATGGTCACAACTCAGGAGAACGAATTGCAGTAAATCAGTCACACACGTCTCACTCCCAGCATAACCTTTAAGAAAGTTGGAAATGAAAGTTGACGTTTATCCTACTAAAACTTGCCAGGACTGTCTGAACCCTTTTAAATCAACGGGAAATTCTTTGACTGTCTTTATTGATTCTCCCAATACAAATATATGAAGAATGTATAATAGATGTTTAAAACACGGGAAACAGTGCGTTGCTTTTAACACGTTGTTGGAAAAGCATTTCCTTTTGTCTATAACCAGTCACATCTCTTTGATGGCGATCTTGTTTAAGAAATGGCTAAAGATCGTGGTGCATGATCTATGGATGACAGACAGACAGGTAGACAGTTTATTCAGCGAAAGGGCCAAACTCCCATGTCGGTAAGTTGGCTGCATGAATTACGAATGTCAGTGAATCGATCCAGCTCTTTGCTTTTAGGCTTTCTATAAGTATAGCATTTTCAGATGAAATGAGTTTGAGACTTGATACACTGTTGGAGATACATACTTCTGAGCTGAATAATGCTCAAATAAGCAAAACATCAATCATCTTCAATAAAACATATTCCACTTTCTGTCAATATTTACATAGTGGTTCGGTGTATGGGACATTTTTGTATCTCCCAAAATCTGCAATTTAAATCTTCTGCATCTGAAACGAGTCATACATTGTCTCAGATGTACAGGGATAGGGAGTTTAAAATATTTTCTTACATTTAACAGGTGTGTTATACAATAATGCACCGGGACTCTTAATAGAAATACATCATGATTGTTGAAGGTTCTCCAATAATCTTTGTTTACAAAGGTGAAAACATATCTTCACATCACCAACTCTTTGTTTAATAATTTCTTTATTTTTGTTGCATTTATACATAGTTGCACATTTCGCTACATTTGCCAGCTTTTGTGTTAATCATGCATATCCAAATCCTATTTTAAACAAAATATTTTTGATATGAGTAGCCCGTGTGGAGCGACCAGAATCGTCCAGTGATCTGAGCTTTAAATAGCATTTGTGATCATCCGATAGATGAGAGACTTGTTGACACTGTTGCACAAGTATATATATACTGAAGACAGGTAGTATATAGGAATTATTAATTTTAAATATTCATGCACTCTGATTTTATTAAATATGTCTGGCCTGACTTTGGCGGTCACATTCAAATGTTATTTTGCGTAGATAAGGGTGTAAATGTTATGGTGATCAGAACAACCCCAGTCATATTGACCACCAAAGTGTTAAGCTGCTTTGTTGGGCTATGTATTGACCGGACAAGAAACTTGCAGAAAACAAACAAAAGGCATCTGCATTCCCTTTTTATCGAGCTGAAGCGCCGTGATACAAATGAATCACTGTTAACACGGCGTTACATCCGTAGTCACTATCTCACCAGTATCCTGAATGCTCGATTCTTGGATTATTTTCAATTGGTGTCAGAGAATGTGCGTTCAGAGACATGCGAATAGTCTGGCGTGTGCTGGACTTGAGGGATGAAAGTTCACCGAGGCAGCGCTTTGACCCACTTGTAAATGCCAGTTGCACATGCTAGTCTTTTAATCGAGACATACATACGTGACATACTTGAAGGCCATGCCACAGGCAGACAGTTCCTCATGATACCACGACACTCGCAAAACGATATGACTGACATTTAAATACGACGGAACAAACATATGATAATAAACGTAATAATGGATAAATAACACGTAAAAGCATTGCTCCGAAGAAATGTTATTTTAAATGAAACAGTGGTATGTGGTTGGTGTGTAATTACTTGTGCGTTCAGCAGATTCCTGTGGTGTCAGACTGGATCTCTTCAAATTGATGCAAATCGCCATGCATGCTACTTAACCGTTATTATGATATCACGCTGTTGTTCTACACTTCATTCTGATCCAGATATTTACAGGTCATTTTGTATTCGTAAAATCAACACAACTTTAGTTCAACAGGAAAGATAACAGATGATATAGGTGTGAGTGAGTGAGTGAGCTAAGTTTTACGTAAACACTCAGCAATATTCCAGCTATATGGCGGTGGTCTGTAAATAATCGAGTTTGGACCAGTCAATCCAGTGATCAACAGCATGAGCATCAATCTGTGCAACTGGGGTATGATAACATGTGTCATCCAAGTCAGCGAGCCTTACCACCCGATCCCGTTAGTCGCCTCTTACGACAAGCATGGGTTGCTGAAGACCACATTCTAACCCGGGTCTTCACAGGCTGAGGATTTAGGGAAATCATACTCATGTACAAATGTTCCTAGACAGAAATTCACTAACAGTTCTATTCTCAACGTGCATTTTAACAGGTAAACGTGACGCAATGTTGGGTTATCTGTCTAACGCCATTGTACAGGTCATATTATCCGCCAAACAACATTTTGCGGAAATAGTTTCTGGCTACTGAACCTAACGCGTATCATCATTTACCAAATATCGTTCTTTTGAATACTTACTGGCTGCAGATCGCCAAGCATTATCTACCAAATACCAATCTTTTGAAATTGAAACCATTTGCTGCACGTCACCATGCGTGTTAATCGTCACTACCGCTATTCTCCGTTCTTGCTGCATGCCACCATGCGTGTTAATCGTCACTACCACTATTCTCCGTTCTCGCTGCACGTCACCATGCATGCGTGTTAATCGTGTTATTCTCCGCTCTCGCTGCACGTCACCATGCGTGTTAATATTCACTACCACTATTCTCCGTTCTTGCTGCACGTCACCATGCCTGTTAATCGTCACTACCACTATTCTCCGTTCTCGCTGCACGTCACCATGCGTGTTAATCGTCACTACCACTATTCTCCGCTCTCGCTGCACGTCACCATGCGTGTTAATCGTCACTACCACTTTCTCCGCTCTCGCTGCACGTCACCATGCGTGTTAATCGTCACTACCACTATTCTCCGCTCTCGCTGCACGTCACCATGCGTGTTAATCGTCACTACCACTATTCTCCGTTCTCGCTGCACGTCACCATGCGTGTTAATCGTCACTACCACTTTCTCCGCTCTCGCTGCACGTCACCATGCGTGTTAATCGTCACTACCACTTTTCTCCGATCTCGCTGCACGTCACCATGCGTGTTAATCGTCACTACCACTATTCTCCGCTCTCGCTGCACGTCATCATGCGTGTTAATCGTCACTACCGCTATTCTCCGTTCTCGCTGCACGTCACCATGCATGCGTGTTAATCGTGTTATTCTCCGCTCTCGCTGCACGTCACCATGCGTGTTAATATTCACTACCACTATTCTCCGTTCTTGCTGCACGTCACCATGCCTGTTAATCGTCACTACCACTATTCTCCGTTCTCGCTGCACGTCACCATGCGTGTTAATCGTCACTACCACTATTCTCCGCTCTCGCTGCACGTCACCATGCGTGTTAATCGTCACTACCACTTTTCTCCGCTCTCGCTGCACGTCACCATGCGTGTTAATCGTCACTACCACTATTCTCCGCTCTCGCTGCACGTCACCATGCGTGTTAATCGTCACTACCACTATTCTCCGTTCTCGCTGCACGTCACCATGCGTGTTAATCGTCACTACCACTGATCTCCGTTCTTGCTGCACGTCACCATGCCTGTTAATCGTCACTACCACTATTCTCCGTTCTCGCTGCACGCCACCATGGGTGTTAATCGTCACTACCACAATTCTCCGTTCTCGCTGCACGCCACCATGCGTGTTAATCGTCACTACCACTAATCTCCGCTCTCGCTGCCGGCCGCCATGCATGCGTGTTAACTGTCACTAACACTAATTCTCCGTTCTCGCTGCCAGTCGCCATATACGTTTATTGTTGCTACCACCGTTCTTGTTTGTAGGTCGTCATGCGTATTTATTGTCACTTCCACTATTATTCGTTCTTGCTTCAGGTCGCCGCGTATGTTTGGGGGAGTCACTGGCACGGATGGAGCTGTTCCTCTTTATATCCGCCCTGGTTCAGAGGTATGACATTCGGGCTGCTTCGAACGGCCAGCTACCAAGCCTGGAGGGCCAAGTCGGCTTGACCTATACCCCGCCGAACTACACAGTCCGAATGGTCAGGAGATCCTAGACCCACAAAGATATAGCAGTGTGAAACCAAAAGGCTGTCGCAGCACATGACGTCTTTGTTGGTTAACACTGCATTCAGCAAAATCCCAACTAAATGACGGCGGTATGTTGATATTCGACACTGGACCAGACGTCCCAGTGAATGATATGATGAGCATTTGGGATACGATGGGGCACGGTGACATGCATCAACAAAGTCAAAGATACTGACCCACTTTATTCCGTCAGTCGACAAGTTTAAGTTTATGAGGAGAATTCCAACTGTTTCCATTGGGAGTTCCCAAGCAACCAATTCCGCCGCAAACACAGCATCGCCATCAAATAACTTCAAAAACAGCGAAAACATTTCGAAAACTACGTACGTTGTGCTACAGAGTATGAGTGTACTTTGGAAATGGGACCTCATCTTTCACGTCCAGGCTGATTATGCCAGCCACACTACTGCCCTTGTAGATGAAGGCCGTGATATGGACAGCTCATGTTATACACATGCCTTGACTAAGGCCAAACACTTCATGGTTACGGGTCCAAGCTCTATGTACATGTTTGTCATACGTTGCCTGTTGCTGTGAGACTTTCTTAGGTATACTGTAGGTCATTAACAAAAGGGACGTTACTCTCACTCATATAGCCAAATGAGGCCCTAACTCATACTGTAAGTAAATAACCCACTCGCTCATACTGTAACTACGTGGGTCCTACAGCTATACAGGTCTCGACTGAGTACTTGCATTATGTCGATACCATACCAGTAAAAGACCCATATATTAATGTAACACATGAAAACCATATAGCTGCGCACATTTACCAAGTTCTTCGTGAAACCATTCGGTCGTTCTTGTTTCAATGATTATTACTATCTCCCCTTAAATATTCTCTTTCACTTGTACGTCACATGTTATCTATGTTTATACATCTATTGTAACATTTGCGACATTTCACCGTTACAAATGCTCTCTGAAGTCAAATCCTTTATCTGGAAACGATGAAATGTCAGCATTTTCCGAGTTTTATCAAGACTTAATATGTCTAAGATATCGAAACGGACGTGGGTGAGAGTGAAAACCTATTCTGGCTCATTAATGTGAAAAGAAAAATTCAGATGGGATGCGAAACCTCGCGCAAAGACTATATGAAAAATGTTCCTGTGCATTAAACCTTAATAATATTTAGTAGAAACACATGAACAATGCACAGCTTTCAATGCGAAACTCGTGTTCCATTATCAGTGCGGGGTTTTACAAGCTGCTGTTTATTTGTCGCACGCACAAATGTAAGATAACTGAAACCAAAGGCTATCTTCTGGTTCCCTGACTAAAGATGCTTTCTGATGGCATGTCAGCTTCCAATGCGTACATGACAGAGACGGCTCTAAAGTTTATAATTACTGGTAAGTTTAGACAAACCATTTAGGCGTGGTATCTGTCATGCGTCATCTTTTTTCCTATATTTGTCAGTGAGTGAGTGAGATTACTTTTACGCCGCATTCAGCAATATACCAGCTATATGGCGGCGGTCTGTAAATAATCGAGTATCCAGACAATCCAGTGATCAACAGTATGAGCATCGACGTAGGCAATTGGGATACGCTGACATGTGTCAGCCAAGTAGGCGAACCTTACCACCCGATCCCGTTAGTCGCCTTTTACGACAAGCATGGGTTGCTGAAGACCATTCTAACCCGGATCGTCACGGGTTCCTATGTTTGTGATACGATAAGTTTCCACGACGTTTACATATTGTCAGTCACCGATGTCGACGTTCTCTGTAATGTCGTTACCTATTATTCTTGTTTAAAGTGACCCCGCTCGATTGGAAACTGGGTCAACAAAAACTATGATTTTCTCTAGTGCAGGGCCGCTATAAATAATACATATATTTGAGGATGTTCATGAATTAATGTACAGTAAATAATAAAATACAATGATGTTTTTGCATATTACCTTTGCCGTTGGTCATAAAAAACGTGTACAAGGATATGGACAAGATCCAGTTTATGAGTCTCAGGGCAGTGTCGTTCATTTCTGTAGATCATAGCATCAACACGCCTCTGTATAGCATATAGAACATCAATAAAACTACATTTAATGAAATAGGTGGTCCAGAAAAAGTATTGCTTATATGAAACATCGCGTTTTCATGAAAAGGGGTTTTGTGTTGTTAGCTGTACCAGTATACCTCAATCTTGCTTTTAAGAGACTGACGGCAATGCCAATTCTTCTTAGTTTCTCGGGGTGGTGGGGTAGCCTGGTGGTTAAAGCGTTCGTTCGTCACGCCGAAGACCCGGGTTCGACTCCTCACATGGGTACAATGTGTGAAGCTCATTTCCGTGTTCCCCGCCGTGATACTGGTGGTATATTGCTAAAAGCGGCGTGAATCTAAACACACTCTTACTTTCTCGATGCCATATAAACGGACAATGGCATACATAGGCTGTTCGAACATGGTCTTGGTGACCGACGAGAAACATCTCTGGTCAAACTGCGTGCATGAAAACGTGTAAAACTTTAAATTTTAATCACAAAGCGAGTATGCCACGACTCTCAAGGGAAGGCTCAATGCTGGTGCAGCTATTGCCCTGAGCTGTATGTAGTTGTCAACAGATTTGTGACTGCAACCCCCACAAGCAGAGTTTGTCAGCAGTTATCGAAGTTAGACGACCATACATAGGAACTATCCTGACCTATTGTGCTCCCACCTTTGCCGATGGCAAGGTACGAGTGTGGCGCTGGAGACGGAAATAACTCGCACAGTGTCAAGTTGACCAATTTGCAGAGGGAAGCGTAACAGTTTGGGGAGAATTTTGTCCCAACGGTCGATCTCCACGGGCCAGGTTGATTTTACTGCCCTATAGTTTCGGGACCCAATTTGGACCCCAGTCTTTCGGACATTCATGTAGCGTGATGGACTGACATTTCAACATGACGACATTCCTACTCCCCATACTGCAGTTGTGACGCGAAACTTCTGATGCAACGCCGGTGTTGAAGGTCATGGAAGGCCTTTTTGGGATGATTGAGTGAATGACTATACCGTTACGCCACCTTCAGCAATATTCCAGCAATATCACGGCGGGGGATACCCGAAATGGGATTAATACATTTTACCCATGTTGGGAATCGAATCCGGATCTTCGGCGTGAATAGCGAACGCTTTAGCCGCTAGGCTACCGCAGCGCCCCATTTGGGATGAGCTAATGGATACAGGTGTGACAGCAGACAAGCCCAGGCCTTGCAAGACCTTAGGCAAGCACTTGCCTACCAATGGTGACGACTTCCGGTTAGATTGTTTCAACAGGTCCTCTTTGAGATAAGTGGTTGCCGTCACGTCCACCCAAGAAGGTCACAGTCGTTGTTCTCTTCATCTGTTCCCAAAGTCTTTCAAGGGTGAAGTTTGTGTTGGAAGGGACTTGGGAAGGGAGAGGGGGTGATGCATTCTGGACTATTTTCCCAATACATTGATGCTGCAATCGTCTGTACTGCCACCTGGGTCACTGCTGTATGATACACATCTATCTTCATACTAATGCACACACTAATTTCTCTCTGGGATTCAATTTAACAAAAAGTTTGGTTGAGTGTATACAGTAAATTATGTAGTCTGACATGTGTCATAAGTGAGTGTTTGAAATAAGAGCATTTCAAATTGAAGCAAATACTTTGGTCTGCTGAATAACGACTACAGTGCAGACAACCCACTGACTGATAATGTGTGCAACGGCCCATGCTGTACGGTGATCAATGAGGTTACTGAGCCTGATCAACGAATCCATTTAGTTACATTTTGCGACCAGCATATTTAAATGGGAATCAGTTTCAACCTAGAAACAGTGTAATATGACAGCGTCAACATGAAAATGAGTCTATGGTAGTGAATGTTAACAGGGAATAACCGAATGGGTTTATAATATAATGGACAGTTGAGGATGCCTTCTGATAGATGAGTCTCGAAAGCTGACCACTTGATTCCTATTTTGGATAGATTTACGGTAATCATGAACCACAAGGTCTCTTTTTACCAGGAATTTGTAATAGGGCTTCATAAGACTTGCAGCATGAAATACGAACATGTATTGATACATACTATGGTGCAGATGGACACTAAGTGACACAGTGAGTGAGTGAGTGAGTGGTTTTACACCGCTTTTAGCAATATTCCAGCAATATCACGGGACACCAGAAACGGGCTTCACACATTGTACCCATGTGGGGAATCGAACCAGGGTCTTTGGTGTGGCGAGCGAACGCTTTAACCACTAGACTACCCCACCGCCCCACTAAGTGACACAACTAACACAGCCGTGACATCAATAAGCAGGCATGTAGCACTGCCATAGAAACATACTCTCAGAATACACGCATGTGTACAGTGCATATCAGTAACAAAAACATGATATTCTTCATAACAGTTTAATTATCACAAAAATTGTCTCTTTGCATCACATTTATTTAAAAAAGGAATCACAAATATTATGTGGAAAAAAGAATGAAAGAAAAAAACAACTGATTTTGAACTAAACTGGGCATTTTCTACTTACATGCAAAATAACACATTAAACTGAAGATCTTGAAAATGAAAGGCTTCAACTTGTCACTCATTCATTAATGGAACACCAATGGGGCGCTCGCAATAACATCATCCAAAAACTTAATGATACTTGCAGCCAAGAAAATGTAACATAATTCTTATTGCTTACGTTCTAACACAACAAAAATAACTTCAATATGCTGGTTTATCAAAGAACAGATTGGAATGTACAGATTGGAACATCACACACTGGGGGTCATGTAAATGAAAGGAGAGGTTCTGCAGATAGGCATACTGTACATTGACGGGCAGGCATTAATCTGAACAAAAGAATGCTATGTATTTGTACAAAACATCAAATTACGCATTTCTCTTTTTAGATTTTGGGGTAAAAAGTTCTGGTTGCCATGTGTGCAGTGTCAGATAAGGTTCCTTTGTTGATGCAGTCTAATGCATGGAATCCTCAACCGTCTGGAGTTTGCCAAGATGGATTGAAAACTACTGCTTTTAATATTATTCTCTTCCAACTTTTCACAGACCTCAAAGTATGTTCTTTGTTGCCTGGATGCAGAGACAATTTCAGGGAATGTCTCAAAGTATCGACCACTTAAACACTGATCTGTTTGCAGAAACATGAAATGGAGATAAGAAGCCAAACATGAAATTAGAGAAAGGTCAATACGTACCTAATAGGAAACCGAGTATTGCCATGACAATGCATCTCTACTTGAGAAACACCATGGATACAAGACTGTTTTCAAAGCTCCATGTGAGAGAAGAACAAACTCATTACAATATTACTGTTTAACAAAACAATATCATCAGGTGACATGTTAAGACTATAGACGTTTGGCCTTTGAAAAGCTTAGAATGAGCATATAACTGTGCATGGGTTGTACACAGTACTGACAAGTGTAATATCAATGACACGTGGTGGGATCACAATGACATGCGAACGGATATCAATGACACATGGTGGGATCTCAATGACATGCGAACGGATATCAATGACACGTGGTGGGATCACAATGACATGCGAACGGATATCAATGACTCGTGGTGGGATCACAATGACATGCGAACGGATAACAATGACACGTGGTGGGATCACAATGACATGCGAACAGATATCAATGACACGCGGGGATCACACAATGACATGTGAACGGATATCAATGACACGTGGTGGGATCACAATGACATGCGAACGGATAACAATGACACGTGGTGGGATCACAATGACATGCGAACGGATAACAATGACACATGGTGGGATCACAATGACATGTGAACGGATATCAATGACACGTGGTGGGATCACAATGACATGCGAACGGATATCAATGACACATGGTGAGATCTCAATGACATGCGAACGGATATCAATGACACGTGGTGGGATCACAATGACATGCGAACGGATCACAATCAATGACGGATAACAATGACACGTGGTGGGATCTCAATGACATGCAAACAGACAACAAAGACACATGGTAGGAAATCAAGACATGGTGGGATAACAATGACCCAAGGTGGGATAACAATGACCCAATGTGGAATAACAATTACACAGTGCAATGGGTTATGGTGTGGGAAGAATAATACATTGTATAATAACAATGTAACTTAACAATGATGCACAGTGTGACAATAGCAATGACACATGGCAGAATAATAATGTAGCATGCTGGAATAATGACACATGGTGTCACTATGGTACTATGGTGTCACAGTAGTTTTATACGCATCTTCCACTTCGACATGAACCATAAGATCAGTGTGGATGGAACAATCATTATCTCAGATACAAACACACGATTGATGGATTGTGATCAAGGCTAAATGAGGCAAACTTTGCACAGCTGATTGCTGCAGCTAGAAATAAAATGACCAATGATGGATAATGTCCAAAAATAACATATTGATGATGACAAATATTGATAAGAGAAAACAAAAAGTGAATATGAAAGTCTTCACAAAAGATAATAACCATGCATGTGAAAAGCCATTGGTACATTTATGTAGACAGAAGGGTTCAACGGAGGGGAGGCGAATTAGTGTAGTGGACAAAAGGTAACATTTGGAGGGGTGGGGGTCCCAAAGTTACATCTGAAGTAGCTATGGTGACTGTGTCATGGGGGTGGGGGAGGGGGCGGTCAGTGGTGACACGATGTTGTGGTCAGAAGGTACCATTTAGAAGGGAGGAGAATCAAGGGGACAGGAAGTGACTGAGACAGAAGTCAGTGGTGACTGATTCTTCAGGTCAGAAGGTATCATTTGGAGGGAAGGAAGGAGAGGGTTGATGGGGAGGTTAGTGGTTACATGATGATGTGGTCCGAAGTTTTCATTTGAGAGGGAAAAGGAGGGGGACTGGAGGAGAGTGTCCTGGGAAGTTAGCTGACTTCTTGTGTAGGTCAGAAGGTATCCCTTAGAGGGCAGACGAGGAGACTGGAGGTGTGTGAGAGTGGAAGTTAGCTGACTTCATGTGTAGGACAGAAGGTATCATTTAGAGGGGAGACGAGGAGACTGGAGCGCTGTGTGAGAAGGGAAGTCAGTGGTGACTGCATGTGTAGGTCAGAAGGTATCATTTAGAGGGGAGACCAGAAGACTGGAGGTGTGTGAGAGGGGAAGTTAGCTGACAGCGAGGGTAGGTCAGAAGGTATCATTTAGAGGGGAGACCAGAAGACTGGAGGTGTGTAGGTCAGAAGGAGAGAGGGGAAGTCAGTAGGGGTGACTGCTGGAGGTGTGTGTGTAGGTCAGAAGGTATCATTTAGAGGGAGGAGAAGACTGGAGGTGTGTGAGAGGGGAAGTTAGCTGACTGCATGTGTAGGTCAGAAGGTATCATTTAGAGGGGAGACCAGAAGACTGGAGGTGTGTGAGAGGGGAAGTCTCATGGGTAGGTGGTATCATTTGACAGTTAGCTGCATGGTAGGTCAGAAGGTATCATTTAGAGGGGAGACCAGAAGACTGGAGGTGTGTGAGAGGGGAAGTCAGCTGACTTCATGTGCAGGTCAGAAGGTATCATTTAGAGGGGAGACCAGAAGACTGGAGGTGTGTGAGAGGGGAAGTCAGCTGACTTCATGTGTAGGTCAGAAGGTATCACTGAAGACTGGAGGTGTGAGAGGGGAAGTCAGTGGTGACTAGGTCAGAAGGTATCATTTAGAGGGGAGACCAGAAGACTGGAGGTGTGTGAGAGGGGAAGTCAGTGGTGACTGCATGTGTAGGTCAGAAGGTATCATTTAGAGGGGAGACCAGAAGACTGGAGGTGTGTGAGAGGGGAAGTCAGTGGTGATTTAGAGGGAGACCATGTGTAGGTCAGCCAGAAGGTATCATTTAGAGGGGAGACCAGAAGACTGGAGGTGTGTGAGAGGGGAAGTCAGCTGACTGCATGTGCAGGTCAGAAGGTATCATTTAGAGGGGAGACCAGAAGACTGGAGGTGTGTGAGAGGGGAAGTCAGCTGACAGTTCATGTGCAGGTCAGAAGGTATCATTTAGAGGGGAGACCAGAAGACTGGAGGAGGGGAAGAAGTGTGAGATGTGTAGGTCAGAAGGTATCATTTAGAGGGGGAGACCAGAAGACTGGAGGTGTGTGAGAGGGGAAGTTAGCTGACTTCTATGTGTAGGTCAGAAGGTATCATTTAGAGGGGAGACCAGAAGACTGGAGGTGTGTGAGATCCAGGGAGAGGGTGACCAGAAGACTGGAGGTGTGAAGCTGACTTCATGTGCAGGTCAGAAGGTATCATTTAGAGGGGAGACCAGAAGACTGGAGGTGTGTGAGAGGGGAAGTCAGCTGACAGCATGTGTAGGTCAGAAGGTATCATTTAGAGGGGAGACCAGAAGACTGGAGGTGTGTGAGAGGGGAAGTCAGTGGTGACTTCAGGGTAGGTCAGAAGGACATTTAGAGGGGAGACCAGAAGGTAGTTAGAGGGGAAGTCAGTGGTGACTTCATGTGTAGGTCAGAAGGTATCATTTAGAGGGGAGACCAGAAGACTGGAGGTGTGTTAGAGGGGAAGTCAGTGGTGACTGCATGTGTAGGTCAGAAGGGTCCATCATTGTGGCAATGAGAAACACAGTTGTCATCTTCATCAATGGTGATGGTTGCAGCTTCACTCAGCTGGGGTGGTTGTTGTGGTTGTGAAGTACTGCCTCAGAGGGGTGAGAAGGTTTCTCATTATGGGGATACTCCAGGATTTGCCCAGCAGCTTCTGTCGGCGTGTGGCCGGCATGTTTCCAACATCTGTATAATGAGGGGGGAACCCAAACAGCCTGCAACAAGTGGGTTTGATTTAACACCGCCTTGAAAAATATACCAGTGAAATCACTGCATGTACGAATGGTGGAAGCCTGAAGAGACACAGGTTTCAGACATTCACCAATGTGAGATCTAGAACAAACTTTATGGATAACAACTTCTTTTTATTTGTGAGCGGCGTTTCGATACAGATTCTTGTACCGTTGTCAAGCATCTGTATCGAAACGTTGCACTCACGAATAAAAAGAAGTTGTTATCCATAAAGTTTGTTCTATATTGTACTTCCCAACTTCTAAAATGCCACTCAAAGAAGTTAATATGAGATCTTCTAACCCATTCATAAGGCAATTCCCCTTCAAACACTTCTTTTTCTTGGAACAAAAACCTTGACTAATTTGCAGCGATAAATTTTAATAAAAATCATGGTCAACTGCATGGTGCTGACAAACTAAGAATCAACTTCAGGGTGAACCCAGGATTAAAACCAACAATAGATTCTTGTAGAGGCAGCTGCATAATGAGATTCAGCACATTAGAATAATCTTCCAAAAACTTAAGTGCCCCCAAAAATTATAAAAATGTCCTTCCAACATATGAGTTTTCTTAGACATGTCTCACAATGAGCAAAAATGCTGTGGTCATTTACCTTTCAACCTCTGATATCCAAATACCAGTTGTCTCCCCTTCCATCTCGATGGGAAACAGCTCATCATGTTTGCCATGCTTCAGGCTGTTGGTGCGTGTGGTGACACAACCCATCTTGGAGATGGTGGCTCGGCGGTTGCAGTTCTGCTCCAGGACGCTGTTCAGATCCACATTCTCATGCATGAAGGTAGAGATAGCTGGTGTGCTGGAAAAGAGATGCAAGGTACAGTTTCATTAGTGCAGGCCCTCAATCGTTCAAAGGTAGAAATCCAAGGTACCATTTCAACAACAGCTGTCATATGTGTTATTGCCATTACATGACCAACGGACATGATATAACAATGAAAGGTGTGGTGCGGACTAATTACAAAAAACACACTCTCGTGTGTTAATGGTGATCAGTGGATAAGCCGTACTAAAACCACTGGGGTATCCTGACCAAGTCACAAAAGCACAGAAACACTGGTTCACTCGTTTCATCGATGAAACCAAGTGAAACTACCTCACTTACAAATGAATCAGAGTCAGCATTAGAGCATATATATGACAAGCATGTGCAAACTTGGCTGCTTTTACCCCATGGCAATCAGTTCACAACTTTATGCTGATGATGATGTCCCAGAACATTCTTCTTCTGTACATACTGAGGGTATTGCCCCTGAACACACTTCCTCTCACCTCTCATTGACCAGCCTGTAAACACAACTGATGACCTACCTGTACATACTGAGGGTATTGCCCCTGAACACACTTCCTCTCACCTCTCATTGACCAGCCTGTAAACACAACTGATGACCTACCTGTACATACTGAGGGTATTGCCCCTGAACACACTTCCTCTCACCTCTCATTGACCAGCCTGTAAACACAACTGATGACCTACCTGTACATACTGAGGGTATTGCCCCTGAACACACTTCCTCTCACCTCTCATTGACCAGCCTGTAAACACAACTGATGACCTACCTGTACATACTGAGGGTATTGCCCCCTGAACACACTTCCTCTCACCTCTCATTGACCAGCCTGTAAACACAACTGATGACCTACCTGTACATACTGAGGGTATTGCCCCTGAACACACTTCTCACACCTCTCATTGACCAGCCTGTAAACACAACTGATGACCTACCTGTACATACTGAGGGTATTGCCCCTGAACACACTTCCTCTCACCCTCTCATTGACCAGCCTGTAAACAACAACTGATGACCTACCTGTACATATTGCCCCTGAACACACTTCCTCTCACCTCTCATTGACCAGCCTGTAAACACAACTGATGACCTACCTGTACATACTGAGGGTATTGCCCCTGAACACACTTCCTCTCACCTCTCATTGACCAGCCTGTAAACACAACTGATGACCTACCTGTACATACTGAGGGTATTGCCCCTGAACACACTTCCTCTCACCTCTCATTGACCAGCCTGTAAACACAACTGATGACCTACCTGTACATACTGAGGGTATTGCCCCTGAACACACTTCCTCTCACCTCTCATTGACTACCTGTAAACACAACTGATACCTGTACATACTGAGGGTATTTTTGCCCCTGAACACACTTCCTCACCTCTCATTGACCAGCCTGTAAACACAACTGATGACCTACCTGTACATACTGAGGGTTGCCCCTGAACACACTTCCTCTCACCTCTCATTGACCAGCCTGTAAACACAACTGATGACCTACCTGTACATACTGAGGGTGGTTGCCCCTGAACACACTTCCTCTCACCTCTCATTGACCAGCCTGTAAACACAACTGATGACCTACTGTCTGTACATACTGAGGGTATTGCCCCTGAACACACTTCCTCTCACCTCTCATTGACCAGCCTGTAAACACAACTGATGACCTACCTGTACATACTGAGGGTATTGCCCCTGAACACACTTCCTCTCACCTCTCATTGACCAGCCTGTAAACACAACTGATGACCTACCTGTACATGCCAGGGATGTTTCCCCAGAAGAACCTTGACCTACCTGTACATACTGAGGGTATTGCCCTGAACACCTTCCCTTCTCATTGAGCTGACATGATGACCTACTTGAGTCCCAAAGGGCTGGCTGGCACTAGTAACAGACACAACATACCCCTGATGTATGAAAATGGTGACATGGCTGACATATTTGAGTTATAAGAAAACATACCCTGAGTATGAAAGTGGTGAAACGACCATATTTGTGTTACGTTTTGAAACTGGAAAAGAATTTACAAGAGTGAAACTTGTATTGTAGAATTTGTTTGGGAAGTTTTTACTGCATAGATAAGAGATAGTGGAACTCACACAGTAATTGTAATTCTGTCAAGAATTAAAAACACTAGTATACAATTTGGTCACAATGTGTGCGGTTTGAGGAATACCTGTAGTTTCAGATATTTGTTCTGGAAAAAAAATCGTCATGAAGGAATACCTAGTCGTGTAATAGATATGGTCCTAACAAGCACATCACTGTGAACACAGTAACTGTCAAACTTGTTGCTTTCTTGGACGAATAAAAACAAAGAAAAAAAGGAATTTTAGCTGTAAATTGTATATGAATTATACTTATCCTATCTCACATAGTGCACTTTCTTTTGACCATCTACCATAGAGTGGCAACAACCTTTAACAAAAAGTTTCTCTTGTACCATCTCGTCTGTGCATACCCCAGCTCACACACGGGTGAAAGGTGAAACAGATCCATAATCTCTCCAAAAAGCTATGAACCTTTCCCACCAATGATCCCCTATGGGCCACTGATGGTTGAAGAACCCATGAAAGGAATGTTTGAAATACCCATACAATTGGAGTTTGGAAATCAAATTAATTCTTTGATGACTTCTTATGAGAGTATAGGTCAGTGAGTATTATGGATCCACCTCAGTGACGTTATATATGGCTTGTCTCAATGCTGTAACATAGCTTTGTCTTGATGCCATTGTCGTGAATGTTGCCGTTGTCATGACTCACATCAATCAGTGAATGTACTGAGAAGGTTGATCACTTGTGAGCCCATAGTTTAGAATAAACCCAAAGTCAATCAAAGATTAACATACAATTATACTTTAAATACAAGATACAATCCATCTTTATGGGTAGATACATCCCATGAAAGGTATAGCTCTGGAAACTTCCAGTGTAGATGCCGTGGACAGTGGAATAAAGCGTCATTTCCGTGGTCTAAGATTGTCTTGTGAGGTCATGAGACAGATTTTGAGAGCCCTGTCAGGGTAGAGTGAAAGATCCTCTATATCATCTGTGCCAAGAATGGATGAATAAGGCGGGATAGAGACTACCCTCTCTTTGAGAGATCTTTCAGAGATGCTCCATGTCAGTTTAGGAGAGACAGAACATCAATGATGATGTTCTGTGCTCCAGGAATGTGTCAGGCGCTGACAATGAGGTGTTGTGAGTCAGTTGAAAGAATTGATCGAAGATCCAATAGTTGGAGACTATGTATTATTTGCTGGAAAAATTCTCTGTTACAAGCAGGTCACCTTTACTCCATGGTGACAAGAAAGAGAATGACTTCACTAGGGAGTCACATGGTCAGCCAGTGCAAGACTAACGCTTTGCTTGGGCTTCCTAGGACTGTCTACAACAAAAGATGAGCTGGGTCATGCTGGGACATGTTGGTAAAAGAGGCTGGAAACGTTTGTTCAAGGTCCTTGAAATATCCTTGAAATGTCCAAACATTGCAGCATTTCACATTCTATCAAAATGTCAGAGAATCCTTATTAACACGGGCTGACAAAAATATATAGGTCCCTTGATATCTGTAATATCATTAATTGATAAGAAAATACATAGTTATTACTTCAACCATCCTTCAGCATGAGTATAAGAAGAATAACATCCTACCTCTAGGAAGCGTGACATGGTATTCTTGAACTCGGTTTTCATCGACGCTACATTCTCGTACAGCCAGAACAGATGTGTGTTGCTGTTGAGCTGCTGCAGCTTGTCACGCACTCTTACATACTCGAAGAACAGCAGAGCAGTGCTACCTGAAAGCACATAATAATGTTTTTTTCATTTTTTCGAAACGATATTATGCAATAATCTAACTATGTAATGGCTGTAAATAATTGAAGCTGGCCCTAACGACTGTGAGCAGTTCAAACCATGAACAACACATCATCTGGAGTCTACACCACATCATAAACAATGTCCCCAAACATGACCACCAGATTTAAACCAACCTCTAACAAGAAGCATAGGATGCTGAGGACCAATTTCTAACCAGAATCCTGATGAAACTAATATTAAAGTGATACGAGACACATGCATTCCATTGATTCAGTGGCAAATCTTAGGGCTCTTAAAAATGGGTAAATAGTCTCAATAAGGTTCTTTTGATATACCTGGCCGTTTCCTATCGCAGCTTCAATTTAGAATTCCTGATACAAATCTGAAGTCATCAACATTTCAGCCATATCAGATTGATCTGCAAATAGCCATGTCCAGGCCCTGCAAACTGGTGGTTGATAGCAGTAATGAATGAATGAATGAATATTGCTTTACGTCACATCAGTAATTTTCCCGCTATTCACAGTGGGTTGATAGAGCAATGATCCATGACTTCTTGGTTTTCTGACATGCAGTCAAGGGTTGAAGAAGCAACTGAACTCAGCTGCAGGCAGCATCTGCAAGAGCTGAGAAGCAGCCATGCTACCTTCCACTGTATCTGTACACATAAATATATGTGATGTGTGAGTGTATGTCACAAAGCAGAATACTTACTTTCTTAGTGTCTTTAAGCAAACTTGTTTGTTCAAACAATAACCAGAAACCAATGCATAAAAATATATGAGAAAGCCTTGGCTGCTTCAACATTGGCAACTTCACCCTGAGAAAGACATAGTCAACTTTGGTTCACTGCCATGACCCATCGCGTTTTAGACCCCATACCTACTTTGCCTGACAGTACATCTAAGTACCTCTCAGAATTTCTGACTGTGCAACAGCAAGGAGTTGTACAGCACAACAAGGGACAGCCTACATGCCTTATGCAACATGACCTTCTTCACAAATGTAACCATGAAGGTGAAACAAATGGTTGGCATTAAAGAAACCTTGCAAAGAAGGAAAAGATGAGCTCAGAGAAAACAGTACAATGCTTGTTATGAATAAAGTATAATCTACTCACCAGACTGGAAACCTCTTCTTGCAGGATTTGCAAGAGAAACGTCATTGCAAGGGGATCCACCAATAAGAAGATCAATAGGAGACAACTCGGCCAACTGGAAAGTTTTGAAAGCAGGATCAACTGATAATCAACATGTACATAAATAATATGAAGGATGCATACACAAGGGACAAGAAACTGCAAGTTCTGTAGCTCACCATATCACCCAATGCAGGCTGTCACCAAATTTGAAGACATTGGGTACAACAGTTCATGAGATATCGCATTAACAAGAGTTTAAAAAGTGGTCAAAGTGTCATGGGGACCTTGACAATAAGGTCAAGATCACCAATATCGATTGGTGTCTGCATAATCCCCATAGTCCCCAAATGTAGGCTGTCACCAAATTTGAAGACATTGGGTACAACAGTTCATGAGATATCGCGTTAACAAGAATCGGGATGTACGGACGCTCCTGAATACATAGTCCCCAATTCCGCGTTGAGGCGGGGGACAACAAATGTTGTGTGTTATGTACAAGTCTGCCCTAATATTCTCATGTAGTGAAGGAAAGGGAGGATGAGGAATTTGTGAAAGCATTACCAAACATTCACTGACCTTCTTGTGATCCAGCTGCATGACATCTCCAACATGGACAACGGAGTTGCCATGGTTACATCTGGTAACAATGATGGCATCAGCATCAATTTCACTGGCATAGTAGGCATCAACACTGAAGCCTAGCTGGTCAAGTGTTAATTTCCCTGGGAAGAAAGAAACATATGAAGGTGAGTGATGGAAGAGAGTGAGGGTAATTGCGACTAGTCAGCCGATGTTTCAGATGATATTGATGTGTTTCAATGCTGGCAAAACCGTATATTTAAACAATGGCTGCATTTTGCGACCTGGCATTTCTCATTCACGAGTATATCACCAAAAGAGTAATTGTAGTGTTGTATTTACTTCTGCTATACCAGATTACTTATTTAATTCCTGCTTGCAGAAATGATCAAAACGTTTCGAAAGGAGGTTACCCACCCCTGTACCCCATTCTTAATCTGCATCGGGTGCTTAACTGGACCTGCCATCTACAACTCACCACTGCCAATCCCATCAAACAAACTGAGAACCCGAAGTGGTCTCTTGGTGCTGAAGTAGGCAAGACTGGGCATCTATGGAGGAGACACAAAGAAACAGTATAACTCCTGGAGATTAGATGATGACTTATGTACTGTGACATTATATCTCAGCCCAACTCTCTCTGGCAACTTGTGTCAAGTGAATTACCTGTGTGATACATAAGTACCTCAGAAGTGTCCAAATACTTGACATATCATTAGCTGCTCGGTCTTTACTTACATTCATTGTTTTATACTCCAACAGTTTCCCTCACCTGAACACGGTACCCATGAAAATGTATCTGATGTTACATTAATGTAATTTTTATGATAAACAGGAAATTTTACTATAAATTGTATATTTATATACTTATCCTATCTCACAGTGTGCACCTCTCTTCTTCTTCTACGACCATGTGGAAACGTGCTGTAGGCTAAAGTTGAATCAAAGCTTTCTGGCCTCTACCCCTGACCTCTGCCCCCACACCGATAGCATGACCTGTCAATCATCTCATAAGCGTGCCAGTTGCTCAGATGATCACGTGACGCTCTGTTCCTGTCATTCTCATCTTGAGCTTCCAGTAATCTGTGATGTGGGGCAGGTCAGGTGAAGTATCCATGGCGTGAGATAGGATAAGTATAAAAATATACAATTTATAGTAAAATTTCCAAATTTTTAAACTTATTCTACCTCACGGTATGCCTTATCCCACGGTTAGCAGGTGGGCCGCGAGATTACACTGTGTCAACTCCTACAGCCGCGGAGTTCACGCGATAACACAAAGGAGGCCAGGAGAAAGCACCAACTCCCGATGTGCTAACTCTAAACTTGTGACAGGTTGCTTCTGATAACCCCTTAGCTTACACAGCACAAAAACTCTAGGGAGTGGGCGGTCCCGAATTAACGTGGTTTTCAGCAATTTTTGACAAGCAAAAGGACACAGTTTGGCAAGTGGACCCTGCTTCCCCCCTTGATTTATCAAGTGACCCCAGTGAATTAAAAGAGTCGAAAACCTTAATCTGGACAGTCCCTGCTTCAAACCTACCCCCACAGACAGACACTGGAAGGTGAAAGAGGGAATAACTTGTTTAACGTTCAGTACCAATCCCCCTAACTTACCAAAGGTGAGAAAGGACTTAGGAGTGCGGGAACGCCAAAACCACTTATAATCGAAATCAAAACTTCACTAACGTAATTCTCAGAGAGTAGAGGTCAGTAAGCCGGAGGTCGACCACCTCTGCATGTCGCGACAAGACTGCTCTTCAGTCTGTCGAAGTCATGGTATGACAGTGCAAACACACCCTAGTTCCCTAGGTGAAGTGGTCTATGCCCAAATATAATCCATACCAATAAGGAAGATAGGACCGATATCTTTCATGATATAGAGAATGCAAAACCTACACGAAGGTAGGTACTCGCATCTTACCTGTGTGTTTGCGAAGCTGACGGCTGACAACTGCTGCGCCAAAACCAATGGACCCAGTTGGTGAAGACCTTCCACGTCAGTAACAGACAGATCCTGGAGGGAGGGTGACCACGAAGACCGTGTCCAAACTCTAAAAACAACCCTCCATAATGCGTGAAGGGAACAGTTCTATGTAGCACCATGTATTGAGGTCAAGGTTCCTGTCTCATGAGGGTTGGCCATAGTAGGAGGAGGAAGGTCAAGCGTGAGGCGTAGGCATGAAGGATGGTAAGATCGCATCCAGAATGCCAGTGTGTAACGGAGAGACTTCTGTAGATGAGGCAGATGACAGAGAAATAAACAGTCTCTTGCGTAATCTTACGACAGTCCTTGGAGGCAGCTAAAAGACCTGTAAAGTCCGGACAGGACATAGGGAGAGATCCTCGGTGTCGCGTCAGGGCCAAGAATAGTAGACAGCCAGCGGGTTGGTGAATAGTCTGTCTGGCTGTCCAGGTATCAGCGCCTAAGTTGGAAGAAGTGTTGAAGTAGAACTGTAGTAGAAAAAAAGTCACTGTAGGTACCATAGTGTGCGAACTAGTAAACAAGTCATGATGATGCATAGAGGTAACCAGATGATTCGGCTTGAATGCTGACAGTTCAGCGAGGAACTCTGTTGGATCGGCAAATACTGTTGGAGCCGGGCGATCTGGTATGGTGCAGTGATCAGAATCGATTCTGAGACCTAGGTTGGTTCGAACGATATGGATCGAAGAGGTGATCTGATTCGGTACTGTGATCCGGTTCCGGTCAAGTGATCTGGTTCGGCAGGGTGATCCCGTTCGCCCACATTCACGATCTAAAGTGCTGAGTCAATCGGGACCGATGCATTCGTCTAAAACGCCGTACCACACAGTAACGGTGTACTGGACTGAAAGGTGTTCCAATAAAAAACAGTTCACTAAGTTGTTCCAATCGAAAACGGAACACTGGTCTGGAAGCATTGATCTAATCGAAAAAGCACACTGGGCTGAAGTGATGATCCAATCAAATGCGCCTCACAGGGCTAATGAGTTGGACCGAACTAGAAGCGGTGAACTGAAGCGAAAGCGATGCACGGGTCTCTTTTTCCCCTTTGTGAGAGCCGAAGCATTGTGCACGGTGATGCATGGACAGCAAGTGCAGCTCTGGTAGTAAGCGAAGCGCACTGGAACCAGGCGGTGGTTCAGAGCACAGGTAGTGCAAGGTACAGGAAAGGTGTTGAAAGCACCGCAAGACTGGATACTGCCGCCATCATGCCTGATGTCACCACAGGAAGATATGAGAGCGCCGAACTGGAACAAAGCGTTGCATTGGAAGCAAGCGGCATAGGTTGAAGCGCCGAACTGATCCCTGTGATTGAAAGTGCGAACTGGACTGCACTCGCGCCGTTTCAGAGTGAGCAGCTTTCACCAAAGCGCACTCCACCATAGCAGAGGGGTGGAGCACTTAACCAAAGCGGCATTGAAACAACCACCTAAAACAAACTAGGAGTCTGTGAAATGCGTCACCCAAGGTAGAAGGCGAGACTGTGCTACAGAGGTTGTTAGCACTACCACTCTCGGAGGAGATAAAACTTGTCGGAGATGGGACTAGACATTTGAGGATGAAAAGAGACGACTGAGATACTCACTCAGAAGTAGGAGTCTGAGGCCACCCTAAAAATCTTCGTCGGGGACGGTGATTAGATCGACGAACTGCTCTCATCGAATGGCATTCTGATTTAGCACACTTAGAAGTAGAAGGACCTCACAGCGGTTATGCGCCCGATCTCATTCGATCTCGATCTAGATGCAACCCGTCGATATTCAGAAAAATCATCACCATTCAAGTGTGAACAAACAGAGAACACATCGATGTGACAAACTACAACAGCCTATACAATCCACACACAAAGCGTGTGGTTTTAGCATGAAAAGTTGCTGTTGCACTGACCACAAAGTTTGCGTTCTTAGAAGAACTTCAATTCGATTTATTTCCCATATTGACAATCATAAAATTGATATTTTATACTTATCCTGACTCATGCTATATTGCTTATCTCCCTTATTCTTCGAACAGTTAAGTGGAAACTTGAATCCCTTTCAGTTCCCTGAGGCGAACGTACAATCACTCACCCTGGAGTTGCCTCCCTTGCCTTTCCTGCCAAAATGCACCCACGTGACCACAAGGCATGCTGTCCTCACCCTCTCCGAATATCTGGCCACACTAAGGCTTACAGGGAAGCCCATAGTGGTTGAGAGGGGACGGTTGGGAGGGCTTCAAATCATGAGTTAGGATAAGTATAAAATATCAATTTTATCATTAAAATTACAAAATTTTCCTTATAATGACACATGCTATATTGCTAATCAAATCCGACGGAAGTAGGTGTTGGGTCAGCCACCTACAGGATTCTCTGTGACTGAATTGCTCATGTCCGCATCCCCCAAAACACTCCCCAAAACCACTGGTCGTCAATACAGGGATGATGCATCACCAACTCCCCATCATCAGCATTATATATATATATATCAAGAACTCCCCCTCACCTGCACCCTGTATCCTGTGTCAAAAAACCTTATGATCATCTCGTGTGAGTTTGGTCGAGGACGGAGGAGACAGTCTTGCTGGTTGGTACACGAGAAGCATAGGAAGCAATGCCACTTGCTGGCTGCTATCACCTGCAAGAAGAGAAGGTTGTAGCCATTACTCAGCATGAAGTGGAACATGATCTTATGGTCTCATGAATGTCTTAACTTCAGGGGTGGAAATAACCCGTTGCCCGATGTTCCAGTCCAGTGCTTTTTTCTGACGGGCAAGCAAATTTGTATATCACGCTGTACCGGTGTCCAGTTGACTTTCCAATGTTCATTATGTTGTATATTTAAAACATGAACAGGAAAATCAGCCGGTATAGTGGAAAAATTATCAGGGCAAGTGATTTTACATGTGCCACTGTACTGGAGTACACTAGCAATTTTAAAGTTATTTCCATCCCTGAATTTGCTGAGTCTGTGACAGTCACTTGAAACTGGAAATGTGTATTAGATAGAAAAGTTCATATAAAATACAATTATACTGAACATTCAGATTGAGCTCATGTCATTCTTGAGGAAAACATGTCGGAGTCTGATACTTGATAATTGTTGCAGATACCTTTTGGAGCATGTCTTCCCCTCCTAGTTCCTCTACACATGGCCTGCAGTACACCCTGAAACATGAACCAGTACACCCTGAAACATGAATCACGTTTCACCCTGAAACATGAACCAGTACACCCTGAAACATGAAACCGTGTCATCCTGAAACAAGTTCACAGTCACATGAACCAATACACATTATCAAGTACACAAGGTCACATGAACCATTACATCCTGAAACAAGAACAGTACACACTGAGAAACATGAAACATGGTACACATGGTCACATGAATGAATACACCCTGAGACATGTACAAATACAGTACACATGGTCACATGAACAAATATACCCTCAAACATGAACAATAATAAACTAAAACAGAAACATGTACAAATACACACGAAGACATGAACAAATACACCCTGAAACATGGAAACAGTACACATGGTCACATGACTGACTGACACATGAAACAGTTTAGTTTTATGCACCCTTTAGCAATATTCCAGCAATATCAAATACACCCTGGGGGACACCAGAAATGGGCTTCACACATTGTACCCATGTGGGGAATTGAACCATGGTCTTGACACATGAAACAGTATGGTCATGAACAAATACACCTGAAACATGAAACAATGAACGCTTTAACCACTAGGCTACATGAAACAGTACATGGTCACATGAACAAATACACACTGAAACATGAAACAGTACACATGGTCACATGAACAAATACACCCTGAAACATGAAACAGTACACATGGTCACATGAACAAATACACACTGAAACATGAAACAGTACACATGGTCGCATGAACAAATACACCCTGAAACATGAAACAGTACACATGGTCACATGAACAAATACACACTGAAACATGAAACAGTACACATGGTCACATGAACAAATACACCTGAAACCACATGGTCACATGAACAAAACACCAAAGTCACAAGCATGAACAAATACCTGAAACATGAAACAGTACACAGTACACATGGTCACATGAACAAATACACCCTGAAACATGAACTGACACATGAAACAGTAACATGGTCACATGAACAAATACACACTGAAACATGAAACAGTACACATGGTCACATGAACAAATACACACTGAAACATGAAACAGTACACATGGTCACATGAACAAATACACACTGAAACATTACAAGAAACAGTACACCCCGAAAAATAAAACAGTACACCCTGAACACATGAAAGAGTACACCCTGAAACATGAAAGAGTTCACACTAAATATGAACCCATCCATACACCCTGCAACAACAACCCTTACATTTTGAAACAACCCATAGAAATTCTAGAACATCAAATTCCCTTGGTCCAATGCACCAACCTCTGACACTCAGGAGAATCACAAACAAACAGGTCTCCCCCAGCACCACACACAGCACAGAAGCTCTGAAACAAACACAGTAATAATAATAAACAATAAATGTGCATTTATAATGCGCGCAATCCAGACAGACATGCCTGCTCAAGGCGCTACAAGGGGATTGTATAAAGATAAATGTCAGGGAGTGTTGACTGGATTTAAATGTCACTATGATACTTGGAGAACATATGGGTCTTTAGTCTAGATTTGAATTTCTCAACTCTGATGGAAGTGAGTTCCAGAGGATAGGGGCAGTGCTGGAGAAGGATCTGGAGCCAAATGTCTTCAGTCAATATTTAAGAACTTGGAGGAGATTTTGGTCACTTGATCAGAGTTTACGTGCTGGAGTGTGTGGAGTCAAGAGTTCAGATAGATAGTCAGGGCTGGTGTTATGGAGGCATCGATAGATGATACAGAGAAGCTTGAACTCTATTCTAGCTTTTACTGGCAACCAGTGGAGGTCTCTGAGCACTGGTGTCATGTGCACATGTCTTGGTGTTCTTGTGATGACCCGTGCTGCAGAATTTTGCAGCACCTGTAGCTTAGATAGCAGTTTACCACTGATGCCCTGAAGCAAACTGTTGCAGTAATCTAGTCTTGATGTTATTAGACCATGGGCAAGTACCTTTGCAGCTTCTGCGGTTATTAAATGTCGAATGTTGCTGATGGATCGGAGATGATAATAACAGGTTCGACTGATGTGGGTAACCTGTTTCTCCATGGAGAGGTGTGAGTCCAGAAATACTCCCAGATCTTTAAGGTGGTCACTGAGAACTATTTCCGTATCCGCTATCAGAATGGATTGTTCTTCTACTTTGGCCAACTGTTGCTTAGTGCCAATCAGCATCACCTCTGTTTTTTCTTCATTCAGTTTCAGCATATTTGCTGTCATCCATGACTTTGTTGCTGTCCTACAATCAGATATGCGTTGGAAGGACACCTGAAGGTTCTCGAGTTTGAATTTGTCCATCATTTGTGTATTGTCAGCATATCCATGGTGAAGAAGCTTGAAGTGTTGGATGATGTTAGCCAGATTTGCCGTGTACGAAGCGTGAAGAGTATCGGACCTAAAACAGATCCTTGTGGAACACCACAGTGTAGTTTGTGAAATCCGGATTTTTCATTGCCGATGATGACTGCTTGTCTACGATCTTCCAAGTAGGATGAAAACCACTTGTGGCAGTTACCACGGATGCCAGATTCAACCAAAAGACGGCTTATTAGAACTTCATGGTCGATGGTATCTAATGCCGCTGACAGATCGAGCATGACAAAGGGAAGCCATGAAGCCATCATCCAGTGCAGACAGTAGGTCATTGAGGACACATATCAGGGCTGTTTCGGTGCTGTAATATTGGCGGTATGCGGATTAGAACTTGTCAAGGATAGCATTGACAGATAGATGGACCTTTAGCCTGGTGTTGACAGCTCTTTCTAGTAGCTTGGACAAGAAGGAAAGGTTGGACACAGGTCAGAAGTTCTTAGGGTCATTAGGATCCAAGTTCGGCTTTTTGAGGTGAGGTCTCACAACTGCCTGTTTAAAGTGAGAAGGAAATATTCCAGATTCCAGGCTCGTGTTGACAATTTCTGTTATGACAGGAAGCAGCTGATCTAGTAGCTGCAACAGAATCGCTGTTGGGATCGGGTCAAAGTACGACAGCTTGTGATATCCTGTTGTGATTTATATGGACATATAATGCAACACCAGGATATATAGAGATTACTAAACGAGTGTCTGTCAGATACCATTTATCTCACAACGAGTTGTTTCAAAACATATTTAACGAGCGAAAGCAAATTTCATATTTTCTCATTGTAGCTGCGCAATAATACACAACACAAGGTTTATGAATGATTGACCTCACGTGGCCTCCTAATTACTGCTCATCCCAAAGGTGACCATCCACAAAAAGTTTTCTGCCACATCTTCGCGTCATCAAGGCAATAATGATAATGCAAACTGGATAAGATCACAGAAAATTAATGAAACCCTCTAAAACGATGATGTTACCATGTAAATGTGGATGATTTTATTTCATGCAAGCATAAAATATTTCAGCGTGTGACATCATCGTTATAGTTTGGTGGTTGTCGTCATCGGAAGATTGTTTTGGATATCTCTGCACATTGGGGATCTGTACTTGTGTACCAGTTTACATTCAATGTTCTCCCATCGACCGGAGCCAAAACTATTGAGTGTGAGTAATTAGGTGTATCCCGTGTGCTTGAATGTGACATTGCTGAGGTTACGTTCACTATAAATGGGGGACTACTCTTCTTCGCCACATCCTTCTCGTTTTCCCGAGCCAGAAACTGCCACATGGAATGAAACGGAATTTCGGAGTTGTCAGTATGAAATGTAAGTTGATTACATCCTGTATGTTATCAAGACATAAACTATGAATTATCATGTGTCGGAGGAATATCTTAAACAATGACTTATGTGTAGATCAACTGTTCCTGTACATGTTCGATTGAATAGAAAGGACATGTGCCGCCATTTGCACTCATGAACCCTTGCAAACGTTCCATGTTGTACATTGTTTTAACGAGTGTGTTTTGGTTCTGATTGTCACGAGTGAATTTGATAACATTGGAATCACATAGTATCCCGGAGCTGAAAGTGGGTCTTCATCATTACCAGTGAAAAATGTCATCTTCATCAATGCATCAAAGAAACAACGAGGCAAATCGATCTCACAATGGACAGGCACTGACGTTATCGTGCTGGTATTTTTGCAAGACGATACATGACACTTGTCGCATCTCTCCAGTAAAAGTACCAATGTTTTACATTTTGAATATTCGAAGGGAATTTTTGTCCATAACGGCGATTTTCACATAATCGTTTACACAGGTATCACTGATTGTTCGAGCTACTGGAAATCATACATTTTAATAAAAGATATTAGAAAATAAAACATTCGTGTTATATTTATTCTAATTGTGTTTCATTGTATAAATACCTGTTTATGTTGCAATCGCGAAAATAATAGGTAAGTGTAAAGTTTTTTTCGGCATGAGTAACAGGATTCTGTTCGATTGAAGCACGAGTAACTTATCAATGAATTTAAATCTGGAAAATAGTCCGTTATAACCTGACCCTAGGTCATCAGCATGGAGTAGCCAATCACGGGATTAGAAATCGATCTCACACATATGTGTGATACCAGTTTTCTCACATGGCTTTCTCACCCATGGGTGTGTAAGAAATGCTTTTATCTGTAATCTCATGATATATCCATGACAGGAACTCACATGAAGTCCGTCTTCCCCAACTGCATACATCGTGTCCGACACTTCCGCCTAAAGAATGAATAAGCACATGAAAAAACCTTGTGCATTATCAGGGAACTCTGAGGTCTTCTCACATTTACATCTTCATGACTACTTAAAGCTATGACTATTGTATTGAACAACAACTTTCACAAATAAACCATTAATTATTATGGAAACAGATTCTGAAATTTGATCACAAAGAATGAACTTACTGTCTGTCATGACCTGTGGGTATTTCTGTACACTTTAGCTAATTCATATAACTTTAATGTTTGCAGAAAAGGAAACCTTCATGATCTCTCTCCCTCTCAGACTGACTTATACAGAGAGGATAATGAATACTGTAACCTTCTTGGAGGTTGAACAAATGGATCAATAAATGAATGCAACATGACAAAGAGTCACAAAAACTTGATCCAGGTTGAAGCTGCAAAACACTGAACTGAGGCAACTGTCAAATGGTGCACCTCCAACTTTACGTCCAGAACTAAGGTCTCCTTCAAATTGCAAAATCCTACCTTACATCCAGAACTAAGGCATCTCTGTCAATTGGTGCCCCTCTTACCTTACATCCAGAACTAAGGCCTCCTTTAAATGGTGCCCCTCCTACCTTACATCCAGAACTAAGGCCTCCTTCAAATGGTGCCCCTCCTCCCTTACATCCAGAACTAAGGCCTCCTTCAAATGGTGCCCCTCCTACCTTACATCCAGAACTAAGGCCTCCTTCAAATGGTGCCTGTCCTCCCTTCACATCCAGAACTAAGGCTTCCTTCAAATGGTGCCCCTCCTACCCTCACATCCAGAACTAAGGTCTCCTTCAAATGGTGCCCCTCCACCCCTTACATCCAGAACTAAGGCCTCCTTTCAAATGGTGCATCCCTCCTACCTTACATCCAGAACTAAGGCCTCCTTCAAATGGTGCACCTCCTACCCTACCTCACATCCAGAACTAAGGCCTCCTTCAAATGGTGCCCCTCCTACCTTACATCCAGAACTAAGGCCTCCTTCAAATGGTGCACCTCCTCCCTTACATCCAGAACTAAGGCCTCCTTCAAATGGTGCCCCTCCTCCCTTACATCCAGAACTAAGGCCTCCTTCAAATGGTGCCCCTCCTACCTTACATCCAGAACTAAGGCCTCCTTCAAATGGTGCCCCTCCTACCTTACATCCAGAACTAAGGCCTCCTTCAAATGGTGCCCCTCCTACCTTACATCCAGAACTAAGGCCTCCTTCAAATGATGCCCCCTCCTCCCTTATGTCAAGAACTAAGGCCTCCTTCAAATGGTGCCCCTCCTACCTTACATTCAGAACTAAGGCCTCCTTCAAATGGTGCCCTGCCTACCTTACATTCAGAACTAGGGCCTCCTTCAAATGGTGCCCCTCCTACCTTACGTCCAGGTCAAAGGCGTCCTTCAAATGGTGCCCTCCTACCTTACATCCAGAACTAAGGCATCCGTCAAATGATGCCCCTCCTACCTTACGTCCAGGTCAAAGGGCTCATTCAAATAGTGCCCCATTTGAAGGAGACCTTAGTTCAGGAGGAGGCCTTAATGTTCTGCATGTAGTAATGAAGGGCACCATTTGAAGGAGGCCTTTAGTTCTCAGAGAAAGGGCTCATTCAAATAGTGCCCCTCCTACCTTACATCCAGAACTAAGGCATCCGTCAAATAGTGCTCATCCTACGCTACGTCCTGAACTACGGCATCGGTCAAATGGTGCCCCTCTTACTAGGGCTGCACAATATAACCGGTTTACCGGTATTTACCGGTTCAGACATGAAAACGATACGTATTGCGATACGCTGATCGAAAACCGGTATTTTGACATGCATTCAAAAAACCGTAACACTCGGAAATCTTCGGATATTTCCCTTTTTTGAATTGTTCTTTTCCCTGTTTCATTAGTGCCAAATGTTAATTACATTTTCATTTTGTCATGATTAAAAGTTTTTATAAACAGTTAATCAATCATAGTGATTTTGTTGTGTTTTTGCTTATAATCAAGCATTAACTCGATTATAAGTAGTTTTTGTTAAAAAAATAATCCTTGCAATATATTGCAATACATATCGCAATATATGCTTCCGCATCGCAATATATCGCAATATGAAAATTCTCTGCAATACCCACCCCTACCTCTTACCTTACATCCAGAACTAAGGCCTCCTTCAAATGGTGCACCTCCTCCCTCACATCCAGAACGAAGGCCTCTTTCAAATGGTGCCCCTCCTACCTTACGTCAAGAACTAAGGCCTCCTTCAAATGGTGCCCCTCGTACCTTACATCCAGAACTAAGGCCTCCTTCAAATGGTGCCCCTCCTACCTTACATCCAGAACTAAGGCCTCCTTCAAATGGTGCCCCTCCTACCTTACATCCAGAACTAAGGCCTCCTTCAAATGGTGCCCCTCTTACCTTACGTCCAGGTCAAAGGAGTCATTCCAATAGTGCCCCTCTTGCTTTACATCAGAACTAAGGCATCCGTCAAATGGTGCACATCCTCCCTTACGTCCAAAACTACGGCATCTGTCAAATGGTGCCCCTCCTACCTTACATCCAGAACTAAGGCCTCCTTCAAATGGTGCCCCTCCTACCTTACATCCAGAACTAAGGCCTCTTTCAAATGGTGCCCGTCCTACTTTACATCCAGAACTAAGGCCTCCTTCAAATGGTGCCCCTCCTACCTTACGTCCAGATCAAAGGACTCATTCAAATAGTGCCCCTCCTACCTTACATCCAGAACTAAGGCATCCGTCAAATAGTGCTCATCCTACGCTACGTCCTGAACTACGGAATCGGTCAAATGGTGCACCTTTTACCTTACATCCTGAACTAAGGCCTCCTTCAAATGGTGCACCTCCTCCCTCACATCCAGAACGAAGGCCTCTTTCAAATGGTGCCCCTCCTACCTATGTCCAGAACTAAGGCCTCTTTCAAATGGTGCCCCTCCTACCTTATGTCCAGAACTAAGGCCTCCTTCAAATGGTGCCCCTTCTACCTCACATCCAGAACTAAGGCCTCCTTCAAATGGTGCACCTCCTACCTTATGTCCAGAACTAAGGCCTCCTTCAAATGGTGCCCCTCCTACCTTATGTCCAGAACTAAGGCCTCCTTCAAATGGTGCCCCTCGTACCTTACGTCAAGAACTAAGGCCTCCTTCAAGTGGTGCACGTCCTACCTTACATAAAGAACTAAGGCATCGGTCAAATGGTGCACGTCCTACCTTACATCCAGAACTAAGGCCTCCTTCAAATGGTGCCCCTCTTACCTTACATCCTGAACTAAGGCCTCCTTCAAATGGTGCACCTCCTCCCTCACATCATCCAAAACTACGGCATCCTTCAAATGGTGCCCCTCCTACCTTGTACATCCTGAACTAAGGTCTCCTTCAAATGGTGCCCCTCCTACCTTACATCCAGAACTAAGGCCTCTTTCAAATGGTGCCCGTCCTACCTTACATCCAGAACTAAGGCCTCCTTCAAATGGTGCACGTCCTACTTTACATCCAGAACTAAGGCCTCCTTCAAATGGTACACCTCCTCCCTCACATTCAGAAATAAGGCCTCCTTCAAATGGTGCCCCTCCTACTTTACGCATCCAAGAACTATGGCATCGGTCAAATGGTGCCCCTCCTACCTTATGTCCAGAACTAAAGCCTCCTTCAAATGGTGCCCCTCCTACCTTACATCGAGAACTAAGGCCTCCTTTAAATGGTGCCCCTCCTACCTTACATCCAGAACTAAGGCCTCCTTCAAATGGTGCCCCTCCTACCTCATGTCAAGAACTAAGGCATCGGTCAAATGGTGCCCCTCCTACCTTACATCCAGAACTAAGGCCTCCTTCGAATGGTGCACCGCCTCCCTCACATCCAGAACAAAGGCCTGTCTTAAATGGTGCCCCTCCTACTTTACATCCAGAACTAAGGCATTCTTCAAATGGTGCCCCTCGTACCTTACGTCCATAACTAAGGCATCCTTCAAATGGTGCCCCTCCTACCTTACATCCAGAACTAAAGCCTCCTTCAAATGGTGCCCGTCCTACCTTATATCCATAAGAAAGGGACCCATTAAGATCTGGGTTAGAATTGGTCTTCAGCATCCCATGCTTGTTGTAAGAGGCAACTAACAGGATCAGGTGGTCAGACTCGCTGAGTTGGTTGACACGTCATTGTATCCCAACTGTGTAGATTGATACTCACACTGGTTATCACTGGATTGTCTGGTCTAGACTCGATTATTTACAGACCGCTGCCATATAGCTGGAATACTGCTGAGTGCAGTGTTAAACAACAAACCAACCAACCATAAGAAAGGTTTCTTTCAAATGTTGTCACTCCTACCTTACATCCAGAACAAAGGCCTCCTTCAAACAATGGGTGTCCACACACCACCTCCTGGTGCAGATCCGAACAGCTGATGCAGATATCTACAACGTATCACACAGTACTCCCTTAAATATGTACCCATGTAAACCCTGAAACCTAAGGAGATGAAAAACATCAATCTATCAACTAAACTAGAAAGTGTTTTTACTCGTAAAAACAGATGTCTCCCCTTCCCTAATTCAACGTTGAAACCTCTAACAATTCATTTGATTCCTTCAATTTCAAAATCTCTAAGTATGGAAATACATATTATTGATAGTATGTTATTATGTTTGTAAAGGAATAAAATTGAAAGAAAAGTACAAACCCCTAAAAGGCACATCTCCATGATATGGAGGGGCAGTATAGCAAATTTGGTGAAGATGGGTCAATTAGTTTCAGAATTATGCTCTGGAAACAAACTTTACCATTCAAAAAGACAAAGTCCAAATTGTTCCCATGACAACAGAAACAAAATAAATTGAAAACAAGAACAAATTGTGTCCAGGGACACCGGATGCCCCCGCTGCTGTAGGAAGAGTTCCCTAAGCTGAGTGTGCTCTGGTGATTAATTTCTATATATTAATAAATATCATGGTTGATTATAAAATAAATATATCCAAAGCATCCAAGGTAAATACATATTTGTAAATGTATGTCACAATGAACTTACCACAGTACAATTAAACCTATATCATGAAGGTTCATGGTACAAGGGTAAATAAACTAGCAATAGCAATATCACTGTGGAGGCAAGTGAAAGCAATAGATTGCTGTAGAAGCTAAAGTGAATGGTAAAGTCCTTCATTCATCGTCAGACAAAGTCTCGAAAATTGTATACATGAATGGAACCATAAATAAAGATCAATTATCACACATTCATGGTCCCACATGAAGTACTTGAAAACACTGAAAAAACAATGTGTTGAGGTTTTTTAGATAACACAACCTATTATCATATAAAGATCAATAATTGAACAAAATTCACAAACAAGTTCAATAAACATCTATCCAACTATAGAGATGCACACCTTTAAATGAGTCCCAATGAAACACATGTATAAGGATGAATAGAATCAATTCTGTCTGTAGAAGTGATTTGTGGAGAAGTGGATAGACTTAATCCACTATTTCACTATCTATATCAGAGAGAAATTCAACAAAATTTATGTAAGTTCAAAACGGCATTAAAATTGGAAAAATAAATAAAATACAAAATAAAAAAATGAGATGCACGCCTTTAGAGTCCCTATAAAGCACATGTGTAATCTAAATGAATTCCATAAAGTAGTTTTTGAGGAGAAGTGGATAACGTACACCCCCCTGTTGGATGGAACGAACAGGCTGAATAGAACAAAATTCAAAGTTCAAACATCTGTAAAAGTGACAAATATAAGAAATTGCATAAAAAATTATGAAATGCACACCTTTAGAGTCCCTACGAAAGACATGTAGAAGTTCATTCAATTCTGTTGAGCAGTTTTTGTGGAGAAGTGGATAGACTTCATCCCCTATTACACTATCATCATAGAGAAATTCAGCAAATTGTACCTAAGTTCAAAACTTACAAAAACAATAAAATACAAAAACAAAATATGAGATGTACACCATTAGAGTCCCAAGAAAGCCCATGTATAAGTTCATTGAATTCCACAGAGCGTTTTTGTGGAGAAGTGGATAGAGTACATTCCCTGTTTCGTACGGATGGACACGGAGGGTAACCCTATATGGGGGCATAAAAAAAACCCCTCAAATCCCCCAAAGGGACATCTACAAGCTATGGAGAGGGAGTATAGCAAATGTTAGTGAAGATTGTTCAAGGAGTTTGAGATTTATGTTCCGGAAACAATGGGAACGCCAACGCTGATGCCGACGGAAACTCAACCAAAAACAATATGTCTCCCGACCCTTCGAGGGGAGACATAATCATATAACACAACAGGCTATGTGTAATAAAGTGAGCTGAATATCGACAGGTTTTCCTTGAGTTACAAATCCAATCTCTTATTACTTTTCACAGGTGTTACTCTTATAGAAGCTTTCATAAAATCACATCCACACATAATCAGTGTTCACAAAATTTCCCATGCATGCATCTGAGACCAACCAATAAAATTTCTTCATTTACAACTTCTAGAGAAATATGTCCAGATGCTAGATGCATGGTTTGAAGTCCTGTTAATAATTCAAGGCTTTAGATTAGCTGCTCAGGGGCTGTTATTCAGCCACAAGTGTGCAGAAAATGTCAGTGAAACTTCATAAATGGCTGTTTACGTTTTCTCAGTTCACGTTATTTAGTAATAAATAATCTCTTTGCTTTGTAGAATTGACATTCTTTAGGATGACCACTAGACCAAGAAGGTAGTCCTGCATCGAAAACATCACAATCAGGAGTCATTCCACAAGAAAAAGAAAGTTCCTGTTCAATGGTTGACGTGTGATTTGTCACACGATTCCACTTACCTTCCAGTTGTTTCTGCCCATTTCTAACAGCATCCACAGCATTATCTGCAAAATACAGATTTCTTTCTTTCACCTCACACCATGTGAATTCTTATTAGATCATGTCAGAGTAAAACATTTTGTTCATTGTCCAGTCAACAATAGGTTTGCATACTATGTACTTCATGAACAAGTAACATACCTGTTGTACCATAGCTGTAAATGTAAGTTTCCACAGGATATGGAGGTACCTAAGCATGAGCATGAACACAAGCACGAATTAGCCACGTTGTCTGAGGAGGCTCAATTCATTGTGTAGAGTTGAATACCTTTGGCATGCCAGAAACATATGATTGTGGTTCACCTTAACTATTTTCCTAGGTATGTCAGAACCATATCCATGCTCATGGGTTTATCCCAAGTGGTTAATGTCTAACACCTGCATCTCTTCGGGTTATACAAGCACACTAAGCTTGACTGTAGCTCAGGTGTATAATTCGTAAAATTATTCAAACCAAAGAACGATGATGCCCATTCTCACTCACTTGACTACTGCAACACACCACCCACCCCATCATCTCAGGGGCAGATAAATCTTCTTGAGAAAGGTGTGTGTGCTTGCGTGCGTGCACACAGTTAATTTTCACCCATTTTTAAGACAGTATCCGTTATGTGTCCGTTCCAAATAATAAAAAAAGTGTCCGCTCCAAAAAAAAAAATCTGTTACCTTAAAAGGATTTTTTGGTGCTAGAAAACATATTTAGATGTTTACTAGTCAGTAAATGTGGTACATCATTAGTCTTGTTATTTTGAAATTTATATTTAGCCACATTTTAGGGTAAAAATTGGCAGATTTGCTCTGTCCGAAGGTGACGGTCCTAATATCAATGTTCACAAATAATGTGACTATAAATGCAAATAAACAAACTAATTCATATTATGCCAATTAGGATTGAACAGGCATACTCAAACTGCATTTAATTTTTTTAAAACTTAAAAAAGGTTTTTTCTACAAATTGTAACATGCTTGTCCTGTGACTTTGTGTCCTGACCGTTACCAATGTGTGAAATACCTGCAATAATTTCCCCTTGGAGCTGGATTGTAATTCTACTTCTTGTGTCTGCTTGAGCTAGCCCATGTGCATGTGACAGCAAATGAGATTCAACACATTTGGAGAAAATTGACACCATCAAATATGTAATTTTCTGAATAAAATTGATATTTTATACTTATCCTGACTCATGCTTATTGCTTGTCTCCCTTTCCTTCCGAATGCTAGTGGAACACTTGAATCCCCTTTTGAAGCTCCCTTAAAAAAAGCGGACGTAAGATCACTTACCAGCAGTCATCTCCCTTCTCAGGTTTTGGCGGGAAACGGCGCCACCTGTCTCCCATGCTCCTCACTCTCTCCGTACTTTACAGCCCGACACACTGATTTACTGGGAAATCCAGAGTGCCTTGAGGGGAGGTTGGGAGGGCTTACCTCATGAGTCAGGATAAGTATAAAATATCAATTATATTCAGAAAATTACATATTTTTCCTTATCCAGACTCATGCTTATTGTTTGTAGAATCCAACGGGATAGGTGGTGGGTTAAGCCACTTCTGGATTCCTTAGTGATGAATTTACGTCCTATTTACCCTCCATGGGAACTTTTAATGGCACTGCTGCTGCTGTTGATCCATATGTCGAATTGTATCTGGTAATTTGGGGGGACCACAATATATCAAACTCTTCTGTAACCGTACATGTGGATTTCAATAACTCCAACTCTTGATGTTCGTATCAAGTGGAGCAGTGACCCTATCCGTGTACAAGTAATTCCTTACAAGTACAGGGTCCAATATTCATGCTAGTCTGTTCTAGACGTGTACATGGACTATAAGCTCTATTCCTTGGAGTACGAGCTTTGCATGACATGCGGTAAAAGGGCGAGATACATCTCAGCGCCTTTGTGGGACCGTCAGCTGTTGAGCTACAACCAGAGGCCAAAACTGGTGGATACCGGAGACGTCCTCGGTAGTGATGTCTCTGAGGTAGTGGTTAGCAAACACTGTCTCCGATTTCCAAAAACACCCTTCCATGATCGTGGATATTGAGCAGTTTCCATGTAGAGCGAGTGTAGATGCCAATGCTCTAACTTCGTGCGGATTGGAGGCTCGTGGAGGCTCGTGGAGGCTCAAGTCCTGCTGCCTTGTGGGCTCGTAGTATGATTGCTCTCATCCAAACTGATATCATAGTACGTGAGATCTCTGTGGGTGTCTCCGACGATATGGGGATGAAACGGCGTTAGAATTTTCGGCTCCTGGTTTTAGACTTTTGTAGAAATATTTTCAGTGCTCTGACTGGACATAAGGATAAGTCTTAAGGATTGTAGATAATGCTGGGATGTGGAATTGTCTGTCCGGTTGACCTGGCAGTTGATTCTTAGCTATGAAATCCCATCTCAATCCTAGATGAACTATGTTGTGACGTGTGTCAAAACGTATTCGTTCGAAGTCCAGAGCATGTATTTCTGACATCTGCGCCGCTGTTGCCAAGGCGATCAGAAATAGCGTTTTCTGTGTAAGAAATTCGTAAGAAGTTCTTTCTAGTGGTTCGTACGCATCACTGGTGAGATGTCGTAACACCACGTTGAGATCCCAAGCCGGCGCTTTAAATTTCCTTTGTTGGTCTTCCAGTTTAAAAGAGCGCGTAGCAAGGCCAGTAACTCTGGCACTTTCGTCAGTTTCACGCCTGTCTTCATAGTGATAACTGAGCTGAGAGCCGCTAGGTATGTAGATAATGTCGAACCTTTAAATCTCTTTATTTGTCTGAGATGACAAAGATATTCCGCCACTTGAGGATGTGTTGCTTTCACTGCTGTGAAACCTATCCTCGATGCATATTTCTCAAAGCTTTGCCACTTGTCGTCATACCAGTTACAAGTAGATCTGCGTAAAGCTAGTGTAACTGCTTTCACTGCTCTGGCGGAGTATCCTCTTTTCGACAAGCAAGTCTTGATACGTTCCATACGTGTAGGTGGAATGATCTGGGATACTTGTGAACTTGCTTGGTGTGAGGATGAATTAGTAGGTTCGACTGGAAGTTGTATTGTTGGTTTTCCGAGTTCTTGTAAGAGAACGGGAAGCCACGTTCTTGCCGGCCAGTAAGGCGTGACCAAAATCAGTTGTAGATTGTTTGTCTGTCTGATTTTCTGTAATACCTGTGGTATTAACGCTGGTGGAGGGAACGCATACGCGTTTAGTCCTTCCCATGGGATGCTTAGAGCGTCTGTCGCCCATGCTTGCGGATCGGGAGTTGGAGAGACGAATGTTGCTAGTTGATTGTTGAATCTTGTGGTGAATAGGTCTACGAGTGGAGATCCTATCGTCTGTATGATGCATCTGAATGCTTGTGGATGTAACATTCTGTTGGGGATGGTTGATGTGGTCGAGATAGCACATCTGCTATTACATTCCTGGCTCCCGGAATGTGACATGCTTTCACATAAATGTTCAGATTGTCTATTATGTTGAATAGTTGAAAGCTGAGGTCTAGAAGATTCCAAGATCTTGTTGATCCTTGTTTGTTTATGTAGAACGCCACTATTGAGTTGTCCGTATGGATCATCAATTTTGCGTTTCTTAGTATGTTGGACCTATGTCATAGGGCATTTACTACTGCTTTCATCTCGAGCATGTTGATATGCAGATTCATTTCTTGATTCGACCACCCACTTGTGAAGGTTGTACTGGAACGGCTCGGGGTGGAAGACTCCAGTCGTTCCGAACCTGTATTTCATTGTCTGGAACTTCTGGCGCCTCGAAAGGGCCGACCTCTTCCGTAGTTACCTCTTGGAGCTGCGGATGGGCGACGAAAAGAATCCTTATTCCCTTTAGCGTTGCCTAATTTCTTATCCCTTGCTCTCTGGATGCCTACAAACTTCGATTTGCCGGAATAACGTTGGGAGGTCTGACGTATCACACTGGCCAGTGTATTGATAGACTTGATCATCATCACCTCTCGGGAATCTTTAGCGACTTCTTTGGCGACTTCATCAATTTCTCCTGCAAAAATGGATGGTGCTGACCAAGGGGCTCTGTAGAGTGTCTTGGTAAATTTCTCACTCCAAGTACTGGAAGATAACAGTCCTTGCCTTCTTGATAATGTTAAGCCTGCAGAAATGGATGATAGGTGTTCAGACATGAAGTGATGATCATTTTTCTGTGTAAGTAGAGCTGAATAAACCATTGGATCTTCCTCTGAAGTTGAATTCTTAAACTTCGAGATGAGGGTCTCGTTGATAGCTCTTGACCTGGCTAGGCCGAAGAAGGTTCGTCTGGTTACTGTGTCTAACTGTGCCAGCTTTTTATCTTCTGTCTTGTAAGATTTCGTCAGAGTGTCGTTGATGATCTTATAATTCTCATCTATCTCTGGAGCCTTCATGAAGGGTTCCACGTGGTGTAGAGAGAACTTCTTAGCGTTGAACGACGGAATACTCTGAGTCTGGTATTTAGTTGCCTTCTTGAAGGCTGTGCTGAGGTTGTCTGGAACGTCTAAGACAGGGTCGATAGGTGGCATCGTGAGTGTGTCTATATCCTCATTCACCATTAAGTACGATAGTGCTTCGTTGGTCTCCTTAGAGGGTGATGCGTTGGCCATCCATGACTTGATTTCCGAGTCGTAAAATATAATTCCGCCGTCATCTTCCTGCTCTGAGGATGGATGTCTTCTATTGTCGTCTGAACGAGGAGATCTGTAAGGTGATCTGTAAGACGATCTGTGTGGTGACCTGCATGGCGATCTGTATGGAGACCGGCGTGGTGACCTTCGTGGCGAACCATACGTTCGTGAATGTGTTCGTGACTTCCTTCGTGGGGACCTGCGTGGAGATAGAGATGACCGTGCGCGCCTTCGTGCGAACCTGCATGTAGGTGAACGGCTTTGTCGAGGGTTGGAGTCTTTTGACGAATCTCTATGCCTTCGTACGGGTGTTGATTCTCTTCTCCTTGGTAACGAACCGTTACGTGCAGGTTCGTGACGAACGTCCGTATCTGACGTCGATGATGATCTACGTGGGTT